TTGTTTAGTCTTATTTGAATCATGAAGCAATAAACTGTTTAGTTTTCATCTTTGTTTTCTTAATTTTCAATTTTTAAAGTTAAAAATGCCACCTAATGTTGAGGATGTTGCGCGTGGTGTGGCACTTTTGATGATGGACGTTCCATCAGATACGCGGCTATTGCCATCAGAGTTCCCTACGAAACACTGTGAGGCGCCGTTAGACGTTTTCGAGAAACTGGGTCCTACCATAGAAGGTCCGGTTCTGGACACCCTAGGTAACAGAACCACAGGATGACCGGTTTTTTACTCCGAGAATTATGCGATGCCGGCACCTTATTTTTGTTCAAGCGATTCATCAGCTCCAAGAAGTTCGAGGTGTCCAAATTTCTGAACGCGCTGCTCGAAGAAGATAAAATCAGTATGAACTGATGGCTTTTCGCCCCGTAAGAGGACCAGAATTGACCAGTACACACAGATTTGCATGGCTCGCATTGATCGAGAACTCATTGAGAAACCATTGGTCTTTGGACGATTGGTCTGCTACTTTTTACAGATAAGTGTAGATTTGCTCTACGATCTCCAGATGGGCGTGAAAGAGTGCGGAGAAGGCGAAATGAAAGGTACGAAAGTAATTTTTCCCAGAGCCAACCTTTTCAACATAGCTCAGTGATGGTGTGGGCAGGAATTTCAATGGAGAGTCGCACAGAGTTGGTTGTTCGTGGAGGGTCTTTGAAGGTCACTCGCTATGTGGATTAAATTTTGGAACATCAAGCGTTGCCTATTCTCGATGAAATCAGCGACAATCTATTTTAATGCACGATAATGCCCCTATACACGTCGCTCGCATAGTACAAACGTACCTCCAACAGCATAACATCAGGGTCTTAGCCTGGCCAGCCCGTTCTCCAGAGAACACCATCAAACATTTTCGGATAACCTTCAAAGACGAATAAGAGCACGTGTTCATCAAGTCCTGATACACTTCATGATGTTGAAAGGACTCTGCGAAGAATGGGTTAACCTCCAGCAAAGGGACATTTCCAGACTGCTAGAAAGTATAGACGTCTTCAGGATGCTTAAGACAAGAGGAGGAAATACGCGATATTGATGCGTAAATTAAAAATCTAAAATAAATTTTATCTGTCCGTCCTTAGCAATTTACTTTCTTTTTACTTTTTTAGACAAAGACTCAATTACTAAACAAAAAAACCTGAAACTTTGATTAATGTATAAAAATATATACAACTCAGTTTATATTACAAGTTGGTGGAATTTTTTGCCTGTCGGTGTACTACCTAAATCTATTTTATTCCTGTCTCTCTCTTCTTTAAAAAGGATTCCATGTTTAGATTTTTTTGGGCCGTGTTTTGAGGGCTTATTTTCTCTGTGTTTGCTTTCTTTTCCCTTGGATCCGATAATTGAGTTTAATGTCATTACAAATTAAGAGCGAGTCCAGAGACTTTTCCAACGGGGTCCTTTTCACTAAAGATCGTAAATAAGTTTATTTTAAAATTTCACAGTAGCTGACAGCTTCTTTTTTGACAATATCCACCTAATTTCGACCGGCAAACCAATTAAGCCCCTTGACTTTCTCCAGCGGCATTAATTTTTTTTCTCCTTTACAGGGTGATGAGGTAGGTTCTTTTTCATACTAATGTATTTCTACCTCCAGTTTCTTCTTAACCGAATTTGATACAAATAAAAAGACATTTCAAAAATTAAAACTTTTGCTGTTCAGTTTTAACACTTGGCATAACAATAATTCGCGTGATTATTTGCCCGAAGATTTTTCAATTTTTTTTCTTTCTGTACAAAAATTTGTACAGTGTTTAGGATTGTTGATTGATTGGTTTAGGGTTGTGTTACGATGTCGCAAGGCCACTCTTTTTAGGCGGCGTCTCCATTGTTAGGATGGGACGTTGAAGAAAGGGCTTGATGTAGTGAATTCATATGGGAGGAGGGCTTGGCAAGGAAGTGTGAAATCGTATTTGGATCATGTCCATCAGTAATTGGACCTAGGTGTTTGAGAATGTTTTAGTTAGTGCTGTAGAAGACACTGAGATGCGATGGAAGACATTTGATTGAAAGGATTGGATTCTTTGAATCTTGGCATGGCTGAAACCCACATCTCAACTTCGTAAATCCAAATCTAAGTCTAATTAATGGCTTGATGTCTAAACATTCAGATTAAATCAATGTAACCCATTGATGGGAGTCGAATTATTTAAGGGGCAACTTCTCTTACAAACGAATCAAATGAAAAATTCTTCATATATAGAAAATATTTACATAATACCATATTTTTAGTTGTAAATATATAAATGTAATAAAAAATAATGTAAAATTAATTTTACTCAATGTAATTTTAAAAATTTTAAATTTTATCACTTTACCTTAAAATTATTTAGTTTTATTATTTTTTAATTAGCTCCCCTTCAACGGATCCATTGGTAAACCCGCAACACACATCTGTCGTGCAAAACTGTATCCTATTGACTTGTACAAGTACCTCTGAGTATACGACCATTTAATTTATTAAAAACAATCATAATTTATTGAGTGCCGAGAGATATTTAAAACTAACTCTAATGAAAAGGTATATCTTTTGTAAAATGCCCATCCAAAAACTGACCATCTGAATTTTGCACGAAAAAAAATGGTCATTGGACCTAGGAAATGCATATTTTCTTAGCCTTTTAAGTCACTTAGAAACACAGCAACGTTTTAAATTATAAATTAATACATAAAGTATTATGTGCATCATAAAAAGGAACATTATAATTTGATGGAGACGTTGGGAATCTGAATCTTTTTGTTAAGCCCCACAGACTACTTGACTACTTGACTCACGATGAAAATTTCGTTTAAAACAAACTTCATGTAACTTGGTCATCTCCATAAACAATCAACACTTACAGCAACACCTGAATGAATTGACAGTATGGATCTCAAAATGGAGTATGAAAATAAACACATATAAACAAAAGTACATATAAATTTTACTTTGCGAAAAAATATCTATCCCCTGGTGAGTATAAGCTACTGATTTGGAATCCCCATGCAGGTCTGAAAAATCAAGAAACAAAGCTACGTTTTAAATTATAAATTAATACATAAAGACTACTTGACTCACGATGAAAATTTCGTTTAAAACAATCTTTTAATTTGTAAGACAATGATAAGACCCCTCCAGGCATACGGTTGTGAAGTGAGGGGTTTAACAAAAAGATTCCGATTCCCAACGTCTCTGTCAAATTAGAATGTTCCTTTTTATGATGCAAATAATACTGTTCACATGACCTCATCAAAACCCGCTATAAAAATTTCATCAATCACTGAGCACCACAGTCTTCTACTACTATGACAGTTATTACTTCCAACCCTACCAGAAAATCCACCCAGACGATTGAAAGGAAAGTGGCCCCGAGACCTTCTCAATAAGTGACTAAAGAAGAGGTTTCATTCTGAAAGAACTGGGCAACTTCTCTTACAAGCGAATCAAACGACAAATTCTGCGTATATAGAAAATAGTTTCATAATACCATATTTTTAGTTGGAAATATATATGTAATAAAAAATAATAATGTAAAATTGATTTTACTCAATGTAATTTTTAAAATTTTAATTTTTATCCCTTTATCTTGAAATTATCAATCTTTATTATTTATTAATTAGCCTCTCGTGTATGGATCCATTGGTAAACCCGCAACACACATCTGTCGTGCAAAACTGTATCCTATTTATTTGTATAAATACCTCAGAATGCACACAACTGAATATATTAAAAAGTATCATAATTTATTAAGTGTCGAGAGATATTTAAAACTCTAATGATAAGGAATAATCTTTTGTAAAAGAAATAAACTATCTTGCTCATCAAAAAAACGACCACCTGGATTTTTGGCAAAACTCTGGAAATGCATATTTTCTTTGCTTTTTAAGTCACAGACCTGCGCTAGGTCTCATTTTTTAGAAACTTTAATGCTGAACAAGATGGCTTTTATAAATGTTTTCTTAGCTTTAGTCATCCATCAGTAATTCACAAATTCAGGAACATGTAAGTTTTCGCACTTTTTATGAAAACTTCAAATAGGAAATTATCCTGGAGCTGATCGATACGAAATTTTAATAAGCTTTCAATTGGTCACCTTCCACTTTGCCCGATTTCTCAACCATTTTTCAGTTATTCACAATTTTTGGGCATAAAACGTGTTTTTTGGCGTGGATGATTGTTGGGATGGGACGTTGAAGAAAGGGTTTGATATAGTGAATTCATATGGGAGGAGGGCTTGGCATGGAAGTGTGGAATCGTATTTGGATCATGTCCATCAGTAATGGGATGTCTAGGTGTTTGAGGATGCTTTGATGCGACGTTGAAATGCAACAGAGAACATGTGATTGAAAGGATTGGATTCTTTGAATCCTAGCATGGCTGAAACCCACATCTCAACTTCGTAAATCCAAATCTAGTCTAATTAGTTGTTCTATTGATGAGGATGGTGTTATGGGAGTTGAATATGAGGATTAAAATTTTGTGGAGGAAGCGTTCAAAGATTTTAGCAAAGTTTGAGAGAAGTCTTATAGGTCGGTATGAGGACAGAGAGGTTGCTGGGGGATTTCAATAATAAATGAGCAAAGTTCCCTATTGATACAATAATTAGCTAGGATTATAATAATAAACTAAACTAGTAAATTAAAAATGCTTGTTATATTTTTTTTTCTTTTCCATGAGCAATAATGTTATAGTGCATTGTAAAGTTCATGTGCACCATTAGTCTTGTCAATTTGTTGTTTAAATTCCTTGTAATTTCAAATTAAATTATATTCATATTTGAATATGGTTGTTCGTGAGCTTTGAAAAAATTTTATTCTAAATATCTAATTGATATTTTTTTGTCTTTCCATGATTTATACAAACAAACGAAATTACTATTTGACTACATTCCTCATCAAATACTTAAAAGTTTAATCGATATTTCCTACATTTTAAGGAACTTTTTAAGTTTTTGTTGTTTCAGATGAGTAGTTGGCTTTTTTGGCTGTGGGCATGCTTAGCAGCTTGGTGTTTCGCAGTAGGTGCAGGGCAGCCCATGCCTGCAGACGCCATGGCCAGGCCGGCAAGACCGAAGACATTCGACTCCCCCGACGACCTGAGGACCTATCTAAACCAGCTTGGACAATACTACGCAGTCGCTGGCAGACCCAGGTTAGTTCTGCACCGTGACAAAATGTGTTTTTCGCCAAGGAATTTCCAAAAAAGAAATTCAACAAATCCTGAAGATTTTCCACCCAAAACATGTCATGCAAATGGAATTAACTGTCAAAATTTAAAAGCAAAATATCTTCCTAATTGTTTTCTGCAAGACACTTATTATCTTAAAATGATATTTTAAGCAAAATTTAAAATGGATCTGCATTTTTTGTGGGCATATTGTTTATATTTTGAATAAGTTTAAACAAGTTAAACTTGATTATCTTGGTCTATTCTCACTGGTTTTGACTGTCAGAACGCATTTTAGCATTCTGCCATCTTCAGTGATTGGTCAGCAGAAACAGGCAGACCAAGGTGATCATGAAAAAATCTCACTCAAATGTAATTCAGTTTTAAAACAATATTTTTTTTTGTTCAACATAGATTTGGGAAGAGGACAGGCTTCAGTCCAAGACTACATTTGGCACTAGATGGACTAAGCAGTTATAGATATCCTCTTTCTGACCCAAGTGAACTTTATGAGCTACTGTTCCCTCAAGCGGACTGAAGTTGAGTTTTTATTTTAAATTGAAATACACAAAATAATGGAAAAATATTTTTCTTTCTTCCCTCCTAACAAAATATTTAAAAAAAATAGTAACAAGCTTATTTATTATGGTTGTAAATAGAATTCAAAATTAAAAATATTTAAAAAAATTGAATTTTTGTCATTTCTGGTTACTTATTGCAATGTTTAGATTTGGCATTAGTGAGAGCATATGTGAAAAAAATATAAATGTATATTTGTAAAATGAAATAACGTTTATGTTCCTATATAGATTTTGAAAATGTAATATTTTTATTTATTTAAAAAGCGTGTATTTTAAGTCAATTACAATTCAGTGTTTTGATAATTTTTAGTTCTTATGACCAAGTGTATATTTTTAACCGCCAGAATAAACATTGATATGTGCTTCCTGCCAAATTAAATTTTGTAACCCGTTTCCGGTAAAGAATGTATTAAATGATTGCAACTATTCACAAACCCTGTAGTGTTGATCCTAATAAAGTCATTCGCAAATGAGGAGTTTCACCACTGAAGAACACAATCCGGGTATCGACGTGGTCGGAAAGAAGACCAAAAATATTCCCTACGTCCCATTCCTACCTCAAATTCGACCACTCTTCTGTGTAGCTGTTAAAACTACATCAAACAATATTTTTCTTATATGCAATTTTCATTATTGGACTATAATCACACGCTGATTTTGCCATGCCTACTGTGTTCAAAATAAACTTCGTCAGTTCCCTTAAGAAATTTCCAGAAGAAAATTGTGTTGTAATCTTTACAGGCTGACAATTTTGATATGAACCTGTAAAAATAAATATTTAGATATATTCGTGTAATCAATACATCCAAATATTTTGTAAAAAAGACAAATTATTTTTTATTACTATCAATTTACATCTGATAAATGAAAAATTCCTGGGATTATGGTATAATGCAAAAGCGGTAAAATAAAACAACAATAAATAATAATAATTTATTCAAGAAACATTAAATAATCAAAATTTAATTAGTCCTTTCAAGAAACATTAAATAATCAAAATTTAATTAGTTAAAAAAATAACGCTTTTTTTTAATTCCTTCTTGTTGTATGAATGTTATATTTCATAACACAAAATAACTATTACAACCAAACTAATAAACTTCCAGAAAATTAATTAATGTTATTTTTTGCAAAGTCAATGCAATAATAAATGTAATTTTAGTTTTTACAAAAAAATATCAACCTGGGAAGAAGTAAAAGTTAAATAAAATTGACAATTACCATCACGTTTTATAATTACTTTTTAAATGAACCATGTTCATTAATAAATCAACCAAATTAATATCACCAATTAATCACCAAAAAATGCTTCTTTTTTTTTTTTTTTTTTTTTTTTTTTTGCTTAGCCAAAGCAATAATAAATTAATTTTAGAAATAAAAAAATTAACCCGTAAGTAACATAAATAAAACTTAAATAATTAACAATTAAAATCACATAATTATTTATAATTGTTGAAAAGTGCTCGGTTCACCCTCGGCCCTCTTTGAAAATATGAATTGTTAGACCAGCTGTGGCCATCCAGTAGCTGCAGCAACATTTCACCGACACTCGGCTCAATTTCCTGCCCATCGCGGCTCATCAACACTTCGGCGTATTCGTTATAAGGATTAAAAATATGACGAGTCGCGTGGTGTGGAACATTTGAACGTTTGATCCATTCAATCGGAAGAGGCGGGTTGTACAAAGAGCCTGGGATCAACTCGGGCGGAATTGATTCCGGGCTCACAGGCATGTCACTCGTAAGCCTGGCGTAACCTTGGAAGTGATTGGACCCTTGGATGCTAAAGACTAATAACACAGTTTTTCCACCCTGCAATTGAAATTTCGATTAAAAACAAACCGCGAAACGTAGCATCGCTTGTTTACCTTATGGGCTTGAACAATTCTGTTTTGAGTCATCGGCAAGAACGACCACATTTTATGTACAAACGAAAGTTCAATGTTTTTCATAATACCTGCCTTGATTACAAAATATCTGAAAGGCGACGCACCTGAAACTTTTAACCCTAAATAAGAATTCTTTGACCATTTTATTTTAACTACTCACAGTTTGATCTGAGAGTTTCTATAGCAGATTCAACGAGTGGAGTTGTACTGTCGTCAAAATTCTTCGACGTACAGTTGAATCTTTCTGTAAACATTTGAGCAGATATTAAGAAGTCCGCGACATTACGGTGTCATATATGATTTACCAAAATTTTTAGCAGGTGAAGCTGAATTGGACGATCGGTTTCGATTGGGCTGGTTTACTTCTGACCCTAACAAAGAAATATTGCTGTCAGTATCACTGAAATCCATCCTTCCTACAAATAAATTTCAAAATTATAACAATAAAGTCAAATTAAAACAAATAAAAAAATATATGCATGAGAGAGGAGAGAGAGAGAGAGAGAGAGAGAGAGAGAGAGAGAGAGAGAGTGTGTGTGTTTGTCTTAAAATAAAAAGAAACTAAATTGATTGACTTATTTACTAAATTGATTTTTTTCTTAATTTGACAATTGACCTGATGAAACTGTATTAGGTGTCATAAGGTAAGGTCTTTTTCCAACTCCAGGAGGGTGAATCAATCCAAGCGCTTGTTCTTCAGCAGAGAGCACTTTAACTATTGTATTAATTACCATTTCTTCCATCTAAAAAGCAATTTTTTATTTGTTTGATATTTTTATTTTATCCTTCTTTTTTTTTAACTTACATAATTAAGCACTTTGTTCAGTCTTAATTTTTTAGCAAGAAGAGAATGCCATTTGATTCTGAGTTGTAAGGCCAGCTGGGCAGCCTCAGAATCTGTCCTGAATGTGGCCCAGTCGTCGACTTTAAGCGTGGCCGTCTGGTTGGGTCCAACGTCCTCTTCCTCGCTGTCTGACCCAATGCTTCCTTCCACTAAAACAGAAATTTCACGCTGAACAACGGACAACTTGACAACTCTAGGGGAAAAAGCGTACATTGCGAGTCGGAGTAGGCGTCGAACGGAATTTTAGCCGGCCCGGCAAATACAGCGACTGTTATGGGAGAGACGACTGTTGCTGTCCTTATATAAGACTGTTGGCCAACTTTAGTCAACTCTTCGTATATTATCCAATCGGAAGGAAGGCCCTCGACAACTTTTTTTTTAGAACTTGCATTTTCTGTGAGCACAGATGTTGCATGGACCCTAACCTTGTGTTCTTTGCTAAGGAAACAAAGTACCAAATAAGTATTTTACAATATATTTAGTATATTAATTATCCCATATATTAATTTAATCATTTTAAATAAATCAAACAAAAATTTTAATTAAAAAAAACACATACACAGTCCTTATAACTTTGTGTTCTCTATCAATCCGAGCAATATTAGGGTACAGTCCACCTATGAGCGCGGCTTTCACCACAGCCCAGTTGTCTGAATTTGAGTTGACATATTTGATATCTAACGGGGCTTTGGACTTTATAAAGCCAGACGCCCTAAGCTGAGCAAGGACTTGAGCCCTCGTTCCCATTATCATTTCCATGTTGGCCCCGTTGACACAATTCTGGTAGCAGAACTGCTTGTCCCGGCCTTGCTTCTTTGCTTCTTGCCAAGCCTGAAATAGAATTTTTTAAAATCGATAATTTCAAATTTAAAAAAATATCCTAGGATGATTGACAAATACCTGAAATACTTTGAGTAAGACCATGTGGTCGCTAAGGCTCCCATTTGAAAACTTGGAGCGATCGCTGGCCATTTTCTTTCTGTCCGAATTCGCCTCGGGGAGTGTAAAAATCTCTCTAAAAACAATTAGTCGAAAATATGAAAAAGTCAAAATAATTCAGGTAATTTGTGATTACTTGTAAGAAAGACAGCACACGATCGTAAGGACAGGATCAAGACATTTGAGTACTACAGCGTATATAAGCATCTTCCCATAACGTGGATCAACAGGTAAATCTAGCAGATGGTGTCCTAAATCAGTTAGATCCTCCCAGGTATCAAGAGCATCAATTGTCTAAAAAAAATCAATACATACAAAATTACTGGAATCAATTTGGATCCAATAAGTTTTATCAAAAAAACGCCAACTTAATATGATTATAGCTTTAAATACTTATTGAGAAATGAAGAATATTAATAATTAAATTCACTAATTTCGTGGTCCGCTTGACCAATTAAAATATTACATTTAATTAAGGTTTTTAGTTGAGATAAAAAAGTCAATGGCACGAGCGGGATTCGAACATTTCGATTGAAAAATGGCAAAAAGGAGGGAAAATTCAAACGGTGGGGTTGAGATAGGAAGTTGGTGTCCGAGTGGATCAAGATCACGATAGCTCAAGTGGTAGAGCACTGGCGTATTTAGCCGAAGATCGTGGGTTCGAATCCCGCTCGTGCCATTGACTTTTTTATCTCAACAAAAAACCTTAATTAATTGTAAAATATTAATAATTTCAATTAATTTTTTCTTTTTATATAAGATCTTGGTTGAGATGAAAAAGTTAGTGTCTCAGACAGAATTCGAACCCACAACCTTCGGCTCAATCGTCACAATTTCATCATCGTCATGTCATTTCAACCAAGACCAAAAAAATTAATTGAAATAATTAACATGGCCAATTAGGCCACTGAACATAAATGGATTAATATTAATAACATAAAAAAATTACTTTTAAGAGAGCTACTGCACTTCTACTCGCCACAATAGAAGGAGGATCGATAGCTCTCATCAAAAAATCGACAATTGACGTATTAGGCGGTGCTAACTGCTTTGCAAACAAGCACAATTCCTAAAAAATAAGCAATGAAACATCAAATTCTATTGATGTAATAATAATTGTATAGTTTACAGAAAGTGGAGTCCTGAGTATTTCAGGTAAAGGTTTCGGATTCATAGCCTCGTAACGTAAAGTAGAGTAGAGCCTGTAGCACACTCCAGCCTGAACTCTACCCGCTCTTCCTTTCCTTTGAAGCGCTGAAGATTTTGATATCCAAATGGTCGACAATTGGCTGGCTCCAGTTAATGCATTATAAGATTTCTGTGTATAAAAAAATAAAAATAAAGTTAACAAAAAAAAATTATTCATGTTTTACTTACTTCTTTAACTTTCCCAGTATCTATAACATAAATGACATCTTCAATTGTCAAACTGGTTTCAGCTATGTTTGTTGACAAGATCACCTTTCTCGCATTGGGAGGGGTCGGCCTGAACACAAGCCTCTGCATGCTTGTCTGAAACATAAAATTTTTGATCAGCATCGTCAATGATTTTATAGTTTCCTTAAATGCACCGACCTGCATATTACTGTGCAGCATTAGAAGAATTATTTTACTTTTTTGATTCAGTCTATTGCTCTCGGCCATTATGATTTCTTTAAGTGTATTTATTTCAGAATACCCTGGGAGAAAAACCAATATCCCGCCTAAAAAATATAAGCTATAAATAAAATATTAAAACATTAAAAGACAAAAAAAAATAATGACCTTTATTGTTACTCTCAAGGTGTATATTTGAGATTAAAGTTAATATCAGTTTATAATCAATAACATCGTCATTAGCAGCGTTACTGTACAACTCGAGCATTTCCATATCAGCATCGCTTAATTTTTTGTTTCCTTTTTCACATTCTTTCACAGCAGTTGTATTTTGTTCAAAGTTAAGTCTAAACACGATTAATCATTATAAAAATGTCTCGATATTTCATTTCATAATATATACAAATTACACTTACGCGTACGCTTCTAATGTATCACTGATTTCCTGCCTGGAGAGATGCTTTGCCCAGTCCAAGGCGGTATAGTCATTGGAAGATCTGACATAAACATTCGCCCCTAAACATAAAAGTTGTTCGACCGTTTCCAACGATCCACGGGCTGCTGCTACCATCAAAGCTGTAACTCCGGTATCACTATGCTGTAAATATTTAAATCGACATTTAGCCAGTTAAATATTGCCTTAGCTTTTTTTTTTATATTAAATTTACACTTTTAAAATTGAAATATAACCTGGTAATCAACTCCGACTGCTTCTGATTGAATTATATATATTACTTGCGCAAAAGCGCTTTCAGTACCGTTGGTCCAGGCTTCAAAAAGTGCAGCGTCCATTTCTGTATTGGACGTGTTTGCATCGATCTGGAAAGAAATACTGTTATAAAAATCAACAGACAAATATAAATGTGTATGTCGCACCTGGGGACTATCGTTAACGAGATCATCAGAGGTTCCTTGCATGACAGCGGTCCACTTGTCTAAAGCGGCCTTTTGTGCCCTCCTTTTTTCCAACTGTTTTCTGAACTTTTCCATTTCTGCATTCATGTAACCAGTTCTGAAAAAAAAAACTTTTTGTTAATTCTTTTTGGTTTTGTTTTTCAACGGGCTACGTTTGATCAAAATAAACTTCAGAAAAATAAACATGTTCTAAGAAAATTATTTTACTTAACGTTTTCAGGTCTCAGTTTTGGATGCTACGTGTTGTTACGTGTTCCCGCCTATAGCCTCAATTGCTTTGCCCCCCCCCCCCAGCAAGATTTATTTTGTATTTTGTATCAAATTTCAAAGTGTTTGAATCAGTCTTTTTCCTTTTATGTTGCACAAATTCTGTACAAAATTTGACATTATGTCGTCTAAGTTCTTCAGAAGTAGAATTGTACATAGTTTACAACAGAAGTAAGTAAATGCAAGTTGATTCAAACAACAATATATTCCAAAAATTACTGTGAAAATGTAAAACTAAAACTGAGACCACTTGGCAGAGGAGAAGAGAAAAATCAGAAAGTTAAGGGTAGAGGGTTGGGAAGAGCAGGGACATAGACAAAAGTAGGACAATGAAACTTAGGTATTGTTGATTTTCCTTAAAAAAGGAATTTATCGCTATTTTGCAAAAGTTTGACAGAGTCGCCAGATTATGAACAGAAGGGAAAGTAAAGAGTGGGTCGTTGATGATGAGGGCGAGAAAAGAAGCATGAGGTCTCCATTCACTACCGAGATGTCTGCTACACAACCTCAGCTCAATAGATGTCATGAGTGCCCAGCTAAGGCTTCTAAAAGGCAAAAAAAAACACAAGGACGAGATAACTCGTCACTAGGAATGGGGTGAGTACAAACCTGAACAAAATATCTCGCTAATCCCAAAAAGGTTAAACATAAACATAAACTGGTTAATTTTAAATCGATAATAATAATTGCTTTATTAAAACAAAATTAAAACTTTTCGTTATATTAAAGAACAAAAGCATTATGGAGATGGATCGTCCGATCTGTCTGCGAAAGGTCATTGGTTTACAAATATATATGCAGCTTAGAGAAGAAAGAGAGAAGAATAGAAAAAAAGAGAGAAAAGAAAAAATATATAAAAAAATAAAATAAAATAAAATACAAAAATACGAAGTTATACCTAAAAAAAAAATGCAAAATACAAAAAATAAAATAAATAAATAAAAACGCGAACTAGTATTAAAAATGAAGTCTATATCCAAAATTTTGATGGCTTAATAACAATGAAAGAATAAAACTTAAAAATTAAATTCTTGAATCAATTCGTATCTGTAGTTCCAAGCTTGTTTAGCATACCGAATCAAGCACTGAAAATTTGAGCCACTCAAGAACCGCAATAGCTCATTTCTTGGGAGAACAAAACAACCAAGGTGTAAGAACCGAATCACCCAAAATTGAGCACTCCGCCAAAAAGTGAAACACAGCCTCGACAGCACGAGAATTGCATAGGGAGCATATACCCAAGGGGGAATTAGCCCTATTCCACATAGCTGAATTTACATCTAAAACCTCACATTTCAGCTTAAATGCCCATCTTAGTTCATGCAAGGAAAGATCGTCAAAATTAGGCTTCTAGAATTCAAACATGGGTGAAACTTTTAATTCCTTGTAGAGAGACAGGTGTGTAGATGTTTGAACCCATAATAAGCAATCTTCCCTATGCTGAGAGGCAATCTTGAAGAGGAGAGTAGAAAAATGTACCTGCCAACTATAGATGTTCTCAAGGGTCAATGAGAAAACTAGATTATATTTATTAAATAAAAATTTCCAATGAGCAAACCAATGGGAATTAGACTTAATTATATCCAGTGATGTGATTTTTGAAAACCTTGTGTCCGAGAAAGAATCACTTTTGTTATGAAAGAGAAATGAAGCTTAAGTTTATAAAGAAACACCAAGTCAGTTGCCGTTTCCAAATACAGAAGGGTACCCAAGTATGAAGTAACGTTGCACTTTTTCTATCGCCTCAAACCTCTGATACCCCAAACCTGACAGCCGTAACAACACATCACCGCGCGAGAGACAGCATTAAACACACTAAATTTTGCTTTAATAGGGACATAATCTTGCGCAATAATAGTGGACCAGGTTCTGTTTATGGCCTCTGCTGCTGACGTCTTCCTTGATAAATGTTTCGACCAAGAAAGTTGAGGGGTAAATATTACTCCTAAATATTTGTATTGTAAGAATACAAATCGAGAAATTGGCAAAAGAATGAACACAAATAATACTCACTGTTTTAATATGTCTTCAAGGAAATACTCTTTCACCTCAAACTGCTTTCCAGGTACTATCAATTTCAAAATTTTATGTTATTTCAAAATAGAAAACCAAAAATAGAAAAACTGTTTGTTACCTGGAATTATAGGGCAGTTGTTAAAATAAGCCGAAAATTGTTTGGCATCCAGCGTCGCAGACATGAGGACTAGCCTGAGTGAGCGATATTTAGACAAAGCTTCTCGTAAAACGATGAGAGTGAAATCTGAAAGCCTGTCTCTTTCGTGTATCTCGTCGATAATTACATGTGTCACCGACGCTAGCATACTCTCGGCAGACATCAGGCTTCGGAGCAAAACACCGCTCGTACAGTACATCAAGACGGTAAAAGCGGAAATTCTATAAGCGGAGAAATAATGAATTTTTATATTTAGTAATAATCGCTTGACGATCCTTACTTTCCCTCAAGCCTGATTTGATATCCAATCGACTGGCCGAGCTTCTCACCCCTTTCGGCTGCGACCCTTTCAGCAACTGAAACGGCAGCGATCCTCCTAGGTTGAGAGCATATTATCATGCAAGGCCTTCCTGTTCGCTCATGCCATTCCAGAAGATACTGGGGAATCTAATAAAACAAATTAAAAAATACAGTTAAAACCGAATTCGTAATAAAAATAGATACAAGGCAAATACCTGAGTGGTTTTTCCTGATCCCGTCTGACCAGTAATGATAGTAACAGGATTATCACTGATTGTCTGAACAATAGTTTCCATCTGTGAATAGACAGGCAATGAGCATCTAAACTGAGTCATGGGCTTATTTGCAGGGGGTGGCACTTGAGGGCTGCCGACTGAGATGCGTCCCAGAGCTCGAGAACTGTCCTTGCCTTAAAAAAAAATTAAAATTAAAATTAAACTTACCACACAATGTGTTAAACCTAAAATATTACCATCCTGATAAACATCTTTGCATCTTTCAACAGGAGGAAGGCAATCCTGTCTTTCCTTTGCTGAAACAGCATATCTTGTGAGAAGAGTAGTTAAAAATGTTCTTGATATCTGAGTCAAGTTGACAGTGGCGTCCTTTTGCATAATAGCTGACCCTTCTCGCTTGTAAACAGTCAAATAGCGAGCACTTCCTTTCCTGAATAAAAGTCAGTATTTCAAAATAGAAGAAACCAAATTAAAAGTTGATATTTTTAAAGAAATAATAGCTGGAAAAAATTAATACTCATATGGAGTTACTGAGTAAATCCAAATGAAAAGTTTAACCATTATCATACAGAAAGAACAAAAATTTGATCATCAAAACTAACAGGCCAGCGCTGCACCCAGAGGTCGTATGCCATGAGAAACCAGCCAATGCTGGCACCCAGTATGAAGAATTAATAGGCAAGGAGAGGTCTTGAGGCCATCGTTGTTAAGGTGGCTCCAGACATGTGGTATTCGCCGAACTTTTCCTCTCAAGACGCTTATTTTGGCATTTGCCAAATAGCATGCCTATGTATCCACACATACACGGTTTGTACAACCAGCCAGTTTGTGCAGATACAGCGAATATGTATTTGCTATGTGCCTTGTGAATCCTCAACATGCTACCAATCGTGATGGACAACATTGCTGCAGCTGTGGTTACTGTTTTTTGTAGTGGCTACAAACTCAGTCACAAAGTAGTCACAGAGTACTGTTGCCCCATCTTACTTTCGATAGGTTTTCACGCATCAAAAACCTCATTCAGATTTTTGTTATTCGGAAGAGAAGCATTCCAAATTATTGGTTCAGCTTGGTACAGATAGAGGAATTCCAAGACTGTTATGTTGGGCCAATCCATTCCTAACCGACAGAAATGCTGTGATTTTTTTTTTATTATTAATACTTCTATACTAGTTAGGAATCGTTTATTGTTCACAATTAAATAGCAGTGTTGATTAATGATTAATAGATATCCGTACAGTTGATTCGCGAATGTGCATATACTTTGAGTTTGGCTATTTCACGAATATTTGTGCACTTTGAAGCTGACAAGGAAACTGACAATTAGTCGAGCATGACTAGCACCGAATATTGTTGTTCAAATATGATGTTTTTTGATCGACCTGCAGATAATCTATGTGGAGTTTCAATCTTCATGGAGGTCATTAGATAGGTGAAGAAAGAAGAAGATTAATTGTTGGGTGCACCAAGCTTTCGGCAACTTATAGTGCCATCATCAGGGCTTTCCCAAGAGTGCAGATTAACATGGAAAAATTATTGTAAAAGCATCTAGGGTTTAAGGTTATGAAGCACATGGCCAGCATACTATATTTAACATGGTGAAATTAGTCATCTCGGTAATAAAATCCATATGACTAAGATTCAACAATTTGTTCTGACTAGCAATTTCTTATAGGTAACATTTATGATCACAGAGAGTATTTTGACTCAAATTATAGCTATTTATAAAAACTATGTACACAGGATTAACATTAATGAGAGAGAGAGAGAGAAAGAGTGACAACACCATCGCGTCAGGTTGGACTGTTATGACATATACATAGACTAATTTCACCATGTTAAATGTAGTATGCTGGCCATGTGCTTCATAACCTTAAACCCAAGACGCTTTTACAATAGTTTTTCCATGTTAATCTGCATTCTTGGGAAAGCCCTGATGATGGCACTATAAGTTGCCGAAAGCTTGGTGCTCCCAACAATTAGTCTTCTTCTTTCTTCACCTATCTAATGATCTACATGAAAATTGAAATTCCACATTGTTGTTCAGTGAATAACCGAGCACCTATCCCCATTTCGGGATTTGGTAAACCTTTACTCAGCATTTACACTATTGGTGTATGGGAGTCCTTGAAAAAGCTTTGGGATCTGGTTAAAAGCCTTAAGCTTTTTTTAGTTTTAGTGAACAATGGAGTTGCACAATGGGCCAATGCTGGTTGTGGTGCGCAGGTCTTAAAGAGGCTGACTTCTTTTCTAATCTCAATTTTAATCTTAACACGTAAAGATCGTTTAAACCTCTTTCAGACAAGGCAGTTTGGTTGATCCAACTAAATTGCCTGGTTGACTCTCGATTAGTTGACTGTCGTGTGAAGGTTTTTCTCGGGTGGTTTCGCCCCAGGCAACTTCTCTCCAGAACAATGTATGTTCCATGTTAAAACACAATGAATCAGAAGAAAAGTATTTAAAAAAAGGAAGAAAACCCAGTTGAAGAAAAATGTGGGATCATCATTTGTAATTTGGGAAGCAAGCGCTTTCACAACTACTGCTGTGCCACTTCCCTCCAAGCTGCTTCTTTTAATTTTGTCACTACACCCCCTCACACTTAATGTCCCATATCGCAATATTAATATGAATTTTTTCAATGACATTGAACCTTGCACTGTCTATGGTGAACTTAGCCAGTTGACTCAACTTAGGTGACTGGTGAGAAAGACAAATACCGAGTTGTGTCTTTTGAGTTAAGCCAACCAGTATGCGGACGAGTTGACTGCATGTGAGGGGGTTCAGGTGGCTCCCGATCATTTGCTACATGGCTACACTCCTTGACACCCGTTTGTTCAACTAGTCAATTAACTGCCACATCTGAAAAAAAGCCTTATGCTACCTAGAAAAACTATCTGGCCTGTTCCCAAATCAGAGGCTTTCTGTACTGTAGAACAGATCGTTATTTTACTTTTTTTTACAGCATTCCCTAAGTAGAGATGTTAAATACACATAAAATTAATCTTTCATGCTAGTACATCTGTAACTGTCTGATAAATGGAAGTGTCCCCTAAACAGAGGAGCTTCTTATCAAAAGTTTCACTTTTTTTAAAGTGTGCAGTACTCTACTACACAGGAAGAATCACAGTTTAGGGTTATGACACATGTAGCGGTTTTGACTGAAGAGTTTAACATGCCGGGTTTTTTCATAGCTGACAGATGCTGCAGTTTCATTACTTCAGGGGAGACGACCAGTCTTGCATGTAGTTTTCTTTTTATTACTTCTCTGCTATATTACCAACGGAAAAAAGAACGAAAAACAGTTGAATATGTGTTCGATTGTAGGAAAAATACAGAAAAAAGAGCACTTCAACAATTTATGCTTGGAATTGTGGAATCATCAAGAAAAAAAAGGTAGAAAATTTCAAAACGTATAAGACAGGATCAGACTGACTTTCAACATAATGACAAGGCTGCCTTTCTCACTGGACACGAGCCCAACATGAAATATCTGCAAAGAATTGATGTGACATCCCTGGCGTCATTCGGGTTCAGGACATTCCTCTGCCCTATGCTAGATTGAAAAAGAACAAATCTGACATGACATCTCCTGCTGAATGGATGAACCTGTGTTTAAACAATTCGCTAAAATTGTAACTTACAGAAAATGAGAAATAATTTTAAATCCATTATATTTCATGGTCCTATTGACCAAATAGCTTCTTTCAATTAATTAATCTTTATGTAAGGTATTGGTTGAAATGAAAAAGTTAGTGCACCACTCGTGACACTAACTTTTTCATTTAAACCAATACCTTACATAAAGATTAATTAATTGAAGGAATAATTTTAAATTTAATTTTATAAATACATATAAATGAGTACAAGTTAATGTACCTATATTACATGTAATATAATAGTAGTTCATGGAGAAAATAAATGAATAAATAAATGCAAGATAAAATCAAAAACAGATGGTTTATGCGCAGTTGTACGTAAAACAGATACGTGTGGCATGGTTTATGGAATACTACATAACCATCCCAGGAAATTCACTTTCAAACCCAACTCGGGGAGTCATCTCATCGTTTTGAAACTGCCAGGATGATGCACCACCATCAAAACCAAAGGGTCTGTCATGCCCCTCTTTCGAGAAAGAAATGACCTACCGACTCAGTTTTCCTCATGGTGAACGCGTCGGTCAAAACCGCTATGTGTGCCATAAGCCTTAGACGAGGCATCAAAACTACAACTATGCTGATTATTCTATACATCTTTAATAATCAATTCTTAGTTTATCGACTCAGAACCGATGTGAAACATGAGGACATTTTTGTTCCCCGGCAACTGCAACCTCTATGTAGTTTTGAGAACTGCTGAACATGACTGTTAAAAATAAGGACACTATATTTATGCTTTAGTTTTGATGTTATTAAAGCAGATTAGATATAATCTGTCAAACATTGCAATTATGTATTATATGACTTTGCGACATACCCTCTGCTTTTCGACTTGAGGCCTTGCTTCCTCGCCTCCATGTGAACGTAGGCCCTCTCCGAGGCGGTGAACGAACTCGGAAATTCCCATTCTGCAAAACCAAAGATCAAGACGTGTCGTAATTTTTAAAAAAAATCCTCCTTTACCTTTGAGTTCTTCTGTGTTCAGAAACTTCTTGAATGCCACTTCCACGGCTATTTTCAGCCCTTCGCCGACACGGACGTTGTTCTGGTTGTTCTTGTTCCTTCGTGGCATCTCGATAATTTCAAAAAGCCTCTGGTTTCACACCGTCCGGTACTGCCGACACGACATAACGTCGATAATTTAAAGTAGATATTAATGTGTGGCGGCCGAAGTCGGTCAAACCGTGAGAGGCTCCAACGGTTTGTTGTTGTTGTTATTGGATGGTAATCGCCAATCGGTAGTTTTACTCTTCAACAACAGTCATACGTCATCAATCGTTCTTCAGCATCAGAGATCAATCTTCATTCCTTTCTCACAATACATTTTTTGTTAAATATATCGACTTTAACTCGACTCAAACATGAAATAAATAATAAATAAATAAAAAATAAAATAAAAATTATCAATAAAATTTTTGTAATTGAGCCAAAATAGAAAGTACATTTTTATTTGGTTTTGATTTTAAAAATCCTATATCATGATGGCAAAAAAAGAAATGAAAAGGAAAAACTTTTATTTGCAAAAAACTACAACAGAAATAAACAAACAAATAATATACATAAATATGTATTATCTACTTAATCCCTTGATAACACATCATCCTTGATTAAATTCATAAATTTATTTTAGATTTTTAGCAAAAGAGTGAATTTAAATTGCAAAATTGTAAATTTGATTTGCAAAATGTTCAATTTAAATCGAAATGGTTAATTTGATTTGTAAATTATAGCAAAAAAATGTAAATTGCAAAATGGTGAATTTTATTGTAAAAAGATTAATTTTACCTGTAAAAACTTAATTTAAATTGCAATATGGTAGATTTGAATTGTAAAAGAGTGAATTTTATTGCAAAATGGTGAATGTTTTGCAAAATGTTGAATTTATATTAAAAATTGTGACAATAGTTTGTAAAAGTGTATTAAGTTATGGAAAAATTATTAATTTAAATTGCAAAATGGTGCATTTGATTTGTACAACGGTAAATTGATTGGTAAGAGTTAACGTAACTTGCAAAAAGTGAATTTAAATTGCAAAATTGTAAATTTGATTTGTAAAAAGGTGAATTTTACCTGTAAAAACTTAATTTAAATTGCAATATGGTAAATTTGATTTGTAAAAGAGATAATTTTATAGCAAAAAAATGTAAATTGCAAAATTGTAAATATGATTGTAAAAAGATTAATTTTACCTGTAAAAACTTAATTGGAATTGTAATAAGGTAAATTTGATTTGTAAAAGAGTGAATTTTATTGTAAAATGGTGAATTTGTTTCACAAAATGTTGAATTTATATTAAAAATGATGACAATAATTTGTAAAAGAGTGTATTAAAATTAAGGGAAAATTATTAATTTAAATTGCAAAAGGTGAACTTGATTTGTACAATGGTAAATTTGATTGGTAAGAGTTAATTTAATTGGCAAAAAGTGAATTTAAATTGCCAACTGGTGCATTTGATTAGCAAAAGGGTAAATTTTACTTGTAAAATACTGGATGTTAATTACAAAATGTTGAATTTGATTTTTAAAAAATGAAGTTAATTTGCAAAAGGGAGAATTCAAATTGTAAAATGGTGACAATGATTTGTAAAAGAGTGAAGTTAATTTGCAAAAGGGTGAATTTAATTTAAAAACCTGTAGACTGACCAGGATTTCTTTGTTTAACATTGTGTTTTTTTTCTCTGTTTTTAAATATAAGCCAATTCAGATGGTTCAGGTCCTTTGTTTTGTTAATTTTTTATATTCTCTAAAATTTTGTTCTAAAGATAAAAGGCCACTATTCATTATTCTACTCGTCCTTGTTTTCCATTCCTGAGATTTTATTGTTCACTCTCCTTTACCAAATTCAGCCCAAATTTAACAATATTTATTTATCTCACCTCTCTTCATTATATTTGTCCTAGCAATTTATGATTGTTCAGTGTAATTTTTTTTTTCTTTTTTTAAGAAATATTATTCATTGTGTCCTCACGTTTAATTTATGTTACAAATCAAATCACATTGCAGCATTTCATAGCTACATAGCACCACAAGCACATTTATTATTACTGTTAATTATAATTTCAATTAAGAATAGTTTCAAAGTCATGACGAAGCAGATATACAACTTGACAGCTTGAAGAAGAAAGAATCTGTTTTCTATAAAATTGGCCGGGGCCACATGAACCCCGGGTGTTCCGTTGTGAAGATGGCCAAATGTCAGCCCCTGAATTCGGACCTTGTACCCTTACATTGACGACCATCTTAACGCCCTAACTGTTGCAGCCACTGATGCCCCTTAAATTGGCCTTATCCCTGATATTTAAAATTAAAATTGGAATTTTAATGAAATATTGATTATAATATATTATTACATTGAATATTACAAAATTAATTTTATTGGTTATCAATTATGTATTTTATTTATGTTTAACTCAACGAAATATCACTGTTACTATTGTGATGTAAGTGGAAATTTATTTATTGAGAACACTGCTATATTGATTAGTATTGAATTAAAATAACATGAAAAATAAGTTTTGGCGTATTCACTATTGTAGGACTGGTTATTTTATTAGAAAAAGATATTTTGGAATGATGACTGCCAAATTTATAGAATTTAAAACAATTTATTTACAAATATTTACATGACTGATAAAGATTGTAACACCCTAAAACAGAAGGTAATTAGGTTTTGTTCTTTGGTAAGCAGGGAGTTTTGAAATTCTCTTTCCCCGTTGGTTGACAACATGAGGCAGCAGTGCAGGAATCCGAACGTATATCCCTCTTGCCTGTGGAGTCCATGGAAGTAACGTACACATCTCTTTATCGTTTGGTGTAATCGAGACCCATCCTGCAAAAGCGAATTTTAACGCCCACCCGAATACTCGCTTGTTTAAAAGACATACCACAAGACGAGAGCACTATGTCGGCACAACTTTCATATTTGCTCAAACCGCAAAAAGTTGTCTCCTTCCCTTTCGCTAGGCCCGGCCACTTCGTCAGCCTTTCCCCTCTGCCGATCGGAATTCCCATTTTGTCAGTGCCGACGAGGTTCTCGTAAACTTCCTCAGCGTTTGAAGTCAAGCAAATGGTAACTGGTAGATATTTCGAGGAAAATACAGTGCACCTGAAAGTTTACATCAATAAAATTAAAGTTTTCAATAAAAAGGCAAATTTAAACACACTTACCTCATAAATGTATTACCACTTATGAAATCCAACCGTGCCATGCCACCAACAAACAAAGTCCATTCTGGTTTTAGTAAAAAGCTCCTTGGCTCAATCATTTCCTTTGGTAGTACTTGCACAATTTCCTCAGTTGTAAGTAGATCTAAATTCTAAAAGACTAAATAAACATATTTTATATAAATATTAAATATTAAAATGTACCTGTGCGTCATGCAGCACACCAGGAGTGTCATAAACCCAACGACTTTTTTGTAAGTTCTTGTCATCTGGATCCAAACCCGATTGAGGGATGACTGCATCTTTCATTTCCTCCCTGTTAGCAATTGAAAAACCATCAGCAGAGCCACCCATTGTTTTACTAGCGTAGAATGTTTTTCCTATATGGCCTACAACAATAAAAATTACCTTCTTTATTCCATTAAAGATAATTTGTTGTATTTTTATTAGTCCAATTTTAGAAGTTATCTACATCTTTCTAAAATTGACCTAATAAGAAAAAAATGAATCTTTTAAGTTTAAAGGTTTCTAACATTGTATTAACCTATTAATTGTGGTGGAGTTTGGAGTTTCATTCTCAAAGATTGTATCTGTTCTTTTCTCAGCTTTTTTTCTTTGTGAATTTGCTTTTTATCTTGAAGCAAACGAATAGTCCTTAAATACAGCCTCCAACCCTCCGGATTCATAATGGGAAACTAAAAATCAAAATAATTAATAAAAGAAAAATATTTTCCTTGATATAATTACTTTAAGTAGATTAAGAGTCGTTCCTGGCCATGGGGAAGTAGTGGCTCTTTGCACGAAATCCCTCGCCCTCACTTTGCAATAATCGGACTGCAGTAATGAATTAAAAAGAGTGGACTTGCCGACGTTCGTACATCCGACAAGATAAACATCACCCTTGTACCTCCAGACGTTGTGAAGTTTCGTGATGAGCTCTTCGACTCCGAAACCCGTTTTGGCTGAGATAAGTTGTACATGTTCAACCCGAGCTTCACGAGGAAGGGCCTTCCTCAGAACCTCTTGTACATGATTAAACCATCCTTTTGAATCTCCCCAGAGCAAGTCTACTTTGTTTCCGACCAAGAATATTGGTCGTTTTTTACCTAAATTTGTTAATGTAATGTATCAATTAAATGTTTTGTTTTTTAATTCTTATAATGTACATTTTACCTATTAAATCTAAGAGACCTGGCCATATACTACATGGAAAGTCTGTCAAATCGACCATTAACAAAACCATCGCTTTTTCATTCTAAAAAAAAGAAAGAAGTAATCATAAAGTATAAAAGCTTTTATAATTTTTGTAAACACCTTTATTTTTGAAATCAGCGTGGGATACGAATCAGGATCTACCGTGACAGACAATGCAGCATTGTAGTTTGTAAAGAAATGACACCTCTGGCAAGTGATTGACCGTAAATTAACATCTGTACACTTTTTGAAGATCTCATATGGTAAGTATCCAGGTATAGAAAAATCCTAAATAAATTAATATATGGTTCATCAGCAGTACAGAAAAAATAAGGTATACAGTACTGTCTCCTTAATCTAAACTTCGCCACTCTGAAAATTCCTGTACTAATAAATTTAAAAACAAAATTTTCTAAAGACAAATTGGACATGTATGTGTATTCTAATAAAAATAAATTTTGTACATGCAGTAATAAGTTTTTTTTGTACATACATATGTATATATGTATTTGTAACATCTTCTCTAATCCAAATACTCCTCTGCAGCAATTAGTTTGAATTATTAAGAAAGCACTGTATTTTTAATTTTTTTATGTCGAATTGAACATAAATTAAAATAAATAATTAGAGGTACATTTGTGTTCTTTAAATAAATAAATATTTAAAATGTATTTTTAACATCTTCTCTAATCCAAATACTCCTCTGCAGCAATTAGTTCGAATTATTAAGAAAGCACTGTATTTTTAATTTTTTTTATGTCGAATTGAACATAAATTAAAATAAATAATTAGAGGTACATTTGTGTTCTTTAAATAAATAAATATTTAAAAACAAATTAAATAGCATCAGTTTTTACGACGACTTGGATAATTTTATTGCAATTATTTAAATTTGCCTTGAAACTCATAAATTTACCTGGCAATGTAAATATGCACCACATCCACCACAGGGCACTTTGCTAACCGGAACATTAGGATTGCATGTTCCATAATTTAAGTTCCAATCTCCGAAATCTGTTTCCTCTGTTTCGTCGAGTGTATATTGTTCGTAGTCATTCATCCATTTTTTTCCCCTGGCGTTCAATGGAACTAAAAGATAATCGATTGATTTTAAATAATAAGTCATAAGTAGTAATCGACAGAAGATAACCTGATAAATAATAATTTTAGCTCAAGAACAAAAATGAGTGAACCTTTCAACGTTAATTCGTCAATAAATTATTTGGTGTTTAATTTTTGTTTTTAATAAGGTTTGTCGTTGCAATTTATGAAAAAAAAATCTTGCATTTTTCATGGATATAACGTGAATTTGCACTTTGCTAATGTAGAGAAGAATAACAAAATAACTATTTTCCATTGATTCATAACAAAGTTTGCTAAGAAAAAGACACAACCCACATGAGTAAATGTCGTTTTTCCATCAAAATAAAGGAGAGTTAGAATGGGGTAAAAGTTTATCCAACAAGGATTATCTATTAGTATAATGATGGATGTACACCCTTCCTAGGTTCCAGGATATGCACAGAATAAGAAAAATGAAGAAATGGAAGCCATTGCAAGGCAGGGAACTGCCACACTGCTTCTGCAGGACAGAAATATACACTGTCGGGGAAACAGAAGAGAGCAGAAGGCAGAATGACACTACAGCTTTTCTTTTAACCATCCAACTCCATACTTTTTTTAATAATTTACTAATTAATATAATTATTACAATATGTAATATTATATTTATGTGTGATGAGTAGTGACAGTTAGTCGATAATTATTCAGAAATCGTGAGATGCGGTCTGGTGTGATTTAGGTTTAAGTAAAACATTTTCTTTATCGTGCCGACATTTCGATCTTTATTGAGATCATCTTCAGGGCCTGGGATTTACAAACATTGTTTAAATTTAATAACTACATGTTGGATGTGGAAAAAAGTGAATTTATACAATGCAAAATATAAATATTTCTTTTTTATATTCAATCAAAGTATTTCTACCCACTCAAAGTGTTTGTCTTCTGTGTAATTGTGCCATTCTTGCGTGTCGTGTTGAGAGTTCCAGTGCACTTTGTGTGAGTAGAAATACTTTAATTGAATATAAAAAATATTTTTTGCATTGTATAAATTCACTTTTTTCCACATCCTACATGTATTTGTTAAATTTAAACAATGTTTGTAAATCTCAGGCCCTCGAGATGATCTCAGTAAAGATCGACACATTGGCACGATAAGAAAATGTTTTTCTGAAACCTACATCACACCAGACCGCCTCTCACGATTTCTGAATAATTATATTTACATTACATTATTTACAAGCAATGAGTTGAATATACAAATGACATGGATCATGTCTCGTGAGGGAAGTTAATCGTTGTTCTTCCAATTATATACGAGGATTAATCCTCATTTAGTATGTCGCATCTCCACACCAGCCGACAAAGGTGAGAGAAGAGAAGTTTATTGTGGAAAGTTGAAAATCTTTTGGAAATTATTTTTTTGCACAGGGATTTTGAGGTCTTTGGAGAAGACATAGTAGGGAGCATTGACTATGATTCTGAGGACTTTGGATTGGAAGGGCAGAATTCTTTGGATGTTGGAAGGTTTAACGTGTTCCATAGTTCTCTGTCCAGATTGGATCCCCTGAAGAAGACAATAAAATTTGTCGAAAGCTTGAGCATTGATATAATACCATTGTATGTTTAAAGACCACAACCCGAATCAACAACATCGTAATGAAAGCTGGTTGATCGCATAAGAAAAACTAAATGAAGAAGTGACCACAAGAAGGACCTTAGGTAAAGGTTTTTCGAAAGCCAAAGTAAGTCTTGAATATCACTGACAAAAAAATCCTCATAAGATCAGATAGCCAAGCAGCCAATAAAGCATTAGCATGTAAAAGAATCACATCAAAATTAGTCAGTGAATGCATCCAAAATCGCCAAAACTTGGGGAAACACAACAACCTGACGGTATCTTGGTTGCCAGGGCACACAGGGGGGGGGATTTTGAGTAACGAGAAAGCAGACAGACTGGCCAGAGGAGGATCTGCAAGACCATACATAGACCCCGAACCTATTCTTGGGGTAACAAAAACAAATATAGAATCCTCCATCGCAGAATGGATCCAAGCAAAACAAAAGGAGAAGTGGATAAACTCTAGCGGTGCTAGACATACATAGTAAACTTATGATGACATAGTAAACCTCACCGAGACTGGCAAAAACACTGCTGCAATTGGAGAGGGCCAAACTCAGAGGAGTGATAGGACTACTAACCGGTCACTGGCATCTGAGAAAACATCTACACAACATGAGTACATACAGCGATGATCCCATTTGCAGATTATGTAATGAGGAGGAGGATACAGCCACTAATATCATTTTCGAATGCGAAGCAACAGCTCAATGGAGGTTTAACCTAACGTACGGAAAAAACTTAGGGAATCAAATCGCAGCAGCAACAGTCAATGACCTGATACTTCTAAGAAGAAGGATTGAGTCTATTGACTGAACTAAGGAACTAGGAAGGTACAATAAGCCGGAAGGCTGCAGTGCCTGGGGAATACAAACCCCGCTTCCTAATAACCTTTTCCACCATACCATACCATAACAAATGAAGAAGAAAAAACTATAGGTTTAGGTTTGTATATTTAAACTAGGGATACTACAGCAGATTATAGCGTTACAATCCCATGATTAAATATTTTCTAATGCACCTTCTTAAATAATTACTTTTCTCTAGTCATGTCTTAACTGTCTATTATTAAGAAAATATAGTTCTTAGTAAGCATCCGATACCCACCCACGCTCTGCGTTCTCCAATTTTCACTGTCCCAGTCTATATCTTCGCTTCTTTCTTCGACGTCGTGTACAGAGACTTTAGTGTTGAGGATGTCAGACGAGAAGGGAAAACGGACCTGATCCGTCTCTTCGCAATCCTCCTCCTTGTTTTCATCGCATTTCATATCATCCGAAATAAGCCTGAGGGCGTACGAGGAAACCTCGACAGGCTCCTCTTCCGAATGCTTTTCCAACATCTTTCGTTGAATGAAGTTGTACTTGTTGATGACAGAGTTGTAAATAATTTTGTTCTCGAAACATTCCTCCGGTTGGGCAGAGTCTGTTTTGGTCGAGTAAAACCGGCAACCTGAGCTATTCAAAACAACTCCTTTTTGGCTAATACATACCTTTGAATAACGTTTCAACTTTTCTTTTAAAATAAAAGTCCTGAACAAATAAGTTCTGACGCCGTCTGAAATTAAGTACCTGCTCATGACCTGACTGATATTACAAAGTACAAACTTTATCAGTATAAGGAAGAATAAACCATGCTTTTTTTCGGGTTACAGAATGGTTACACCATGTTTTTATAACATGTTCAGAGCCTGAAAGTTAAGGTCAACATTAACTTTCAGCATCATTAACTTAAAATCACAACAAAATATAAATATTAAATAATAAGACAGAAGATAGAAACTATTAACTAAAAATTTTCAGACTGTAGTTTCTAATTTTGTCTTCTGACTCTCCTATGTTAAGATATATTTAACTGAAATAATAAGCAACTGTTAAAGATACAACATGAACTGATCAAAAACAGTTAAAAGATCTAAATTGTACAATCGTTTTAATTTCATATTTTATTAATTAGTAATTAATTTGTTGTAATAAAGTACCAAGCATAGGCTGCAGTATTATCAATCAAAAATGTCCAACTTTCATCTTAATTAAAGTCACCTACAAGAGATCATTTATTATTAAATACATATTTTAAATAAATCATAATAAAAAGAACATTTTTATTATTTTATCTTCTTTATTTACCAATTAAATAATCAGGCTCTTGAGATCAATTCTTCAATCCAGACAGAAGAAAGTAGAAAAAAAAATTGTTGCTTCTGTTTGTTCAATATTAGACTAGTCTTTAGAATAACAATGCTAAAAATATTTTGCAGACTCTGGTCTTTTATTATCTACTTTAATTGATAATTTGATTCAAAATAAAAACTTAAAATTTAATACTTTTTTTTAAATATTGGTTCATTTAACGTTAATGGACATGGCCGTTTCTTCTTTCCAAAACACAATGTTGGGCAGCAGACCTAGCCTCAGTAAAAGAGGCAAGACAAAAAGGAAAGTGCAGCACACCCAAAGATCTGCGCTTCTTGAAGTAAAGAAAAACTCCAAAAGTACATAGGGCAAAATAATCTATAATGCCAAAAGGGATCTGGAAAGGGCGATCGAAGAATAGAAAGACTGCCGTGTACATCTGTCTTCGATGGCAGCGATGGAGCTCTGTGGAAAAACTAAGGAGCCCACGATAAACACAAGCAGCTTATTCAACATAACGCATCTGGAAAAATCTCAACTGTGTGCTGATTTGCTAGCAGAACAATTTTCCTCAAATCCCATGGGAAACATGGCATTCAATGCACACACCTCTCCATATTAGTCTTTTTTCACTCCTGGTGAAGTAAGAAATACTGTAAATAGATCACTAAGACTGATCTTATTATGCACCGCTCCACCCAAAGGACTAGTTATGCTCACACAAATTTTCAATGCATTACTTACAGCAACACCCAAACAAGTGGAAATATGCACATATCCCCAAGACCAAAAACTAAGCAAATATGCAGCATTTTCCTAAAATATGTTGGTAAAATTTCAGGGCTTTCAGTTGGCAGGGCTCAGAGTACAGGTGCACGACTGAGGATGCCCCTACAACTAAATAAAAAGCCGGTAGGATAATCATAATCCTACCGACTTCCTTCCATTCGTGCTAATAAATACATTCATACAGTATATTTCATTCATCCATTAGACTAATTTCCTTTTGACAGGCTTGTGGAGTACTCGATATTCCTCGACACGTCCATTTACACAAAACATTCATGCTAATAAATACATTCATATTGGAGAGGGCACAGCATCTCGGTAGTATTACTACAACCTTGATAGCGGTGATCTGTCCCTCACATCACACAACAAATATGTACTTACCTAAACTAATTTGGCGGACCTGTGAGCTACTCGATATTCAGTCACAGCCACACCCAAACATACATCACCCACGCTAATAAATACATTCACATTGCAAAATAGATATACCACGTGTGGTTGGTTATATGTATCTATACGCATTTATCAATTTTAAGTACCTAATAAGATTATCTTGGAAGTCACTGTTATGCTTAAGAAATATTTCCAGATTAGATGTAGGTCACACCGTTCTCAGTACTCTCTTAACTTATTACATTCCTCTAATAGGTGTCTCACCGTTACCGGGTTTCCGTTGGTTCAATGTCAGGGTATTGAATTAAAATTAAAGGATACAATCAAGTTCCTAGGGATAACGCTAGATAGGAAACTTGATTGGAAAGGCCACATTAAAAATATACATAGGAAAGGCACTATATCCATGGTGCAGTGTAGGAGAATCGTTGGTAGAACATGGGGTATTAAACCATGGGTGGCCAAATGGATATACACCGCGATCATNGGACCTTTTAGGGATGGGGTACGGGCCTACTCAGGCTTTTAACCCCTCGGGTCTTGGTCGCCCGCCCTGTGTAATATATATAAGTTACCGGGTTTCCACAGTGGGCAGCGTTTTTGACTTCTACCCACTAAGAGGTGACCGTGCGTGACCTATTTGCAACCTTGTTAATATTATTTTGTTACGTTTTTCCAAATTCTCCATGGGCCATGGCCTCACTGTACTTTAATGTATTTTTAGTTTTTCATTACTTTTGTTCCAGTGAGCCTGCCATTTGCAATAAATCGAATTTTCATTTTTGTTTTTAGATCCATCAGGCTAATGGGGGACTCGAGGTCGCAGCCGCTTTCTTAGCATGAAAGATAAAATTCAGATAGTACAGATACTTCTGCAACTGTTGTGCCATCCAAATGTACTTTTAAACCTTAATTATCACTCAAATTTGTAATATTTAATGGCATTTATTAATTACTGATTATTTCAAGATCATGAGATGTGGTACCGCATCTCACCATCTTTAAATAATCATTATTCAAGTACTTACTTTAGCCAAAATGTCTCCATAATCTGGTTACATAAGCTTTGACATATTTTACAATGAAAGACAATAAGGATCAAGTCAGACAATCGTAACATTTAAGAATGTATATTGTAAAATTTGGTTGGTAAATGCAATTCAATTTCAATTTAAAATAAAATTCAACCTGTCAACATATTTTTTTTTTAAACAATAAACATGTATCCTATTAACTTGATGTATATTTAGAAAAAATAAAAAGATAGAATTATCAAATTTCATACAATTTTGCATGTATATTTACATTTATAGCTTGATAAAAATATGTATTGTTAAAAGGTTAATTAATAAAAATACACCAAAATTACAGTAACTCAATATAATTTTAATTATAATTTTTCTTTTTAATTTCTACTGAATTAAGTGGCTATATTTAAAAAATGATTATTGATATCTATTAACATCACCATTTTTTGTAAACATAGGTATTGATGACCTACCTTCTACAGAATATAGAATTATACAATGAAAATGGGAGACAACTATATTGATAGTAATTAATTAATACATTTTCTTTTCAAAATCCTCTCTCAGACGAATCTTGGATTTCCATAATTTATCCCATAATAATGTTTGCCCGTCTGCAGCTTTACAAGGCACAGATTTTGAACAAGAAATTACTCTTGAACATTTTGAAAAAACCCAATTATGGCGAACCTTTGGTTTAAAGTTTTTTTTGCTCAAAATAAAATAATAATAAAAAAATTTAAACGTTTGTAATGTTGCAGCTGTCTTATTGGAGTCTAAAATTCGGTACTGCTACCCCATATAAGGCACTTGCAATATACCCTAATTATACATACAACGATGCAAGAGTAGATTTAATAAAATATTGTTCGTGTTTTCCTTCTAAAAAGGTCAATATTGCAGATCGATAAGTTTTTTTTAATATTTTTATATATTTACAAAAAGCAAAAAAAGAAAAAACAAAGGAAAAGATTCTTTTGTACTGACTTTGGCAATAAGCCTTCAATCAACATTAGATAATGAAAAACTCACTTAAAGGTAAATTAATAATTTAAGAAAAAATGAAATAAAATAAATAAGAGTGCTTAATCATACTATAATAAGTGTTTGGAGCAAAAAATACTATAAATTTGTACAGTAAAATAATATTCCCAAGTTAGTTCATGGGCACTAACTTATGATACAGTAGTTATGTACAAACACATTTTTAAATCTTTTGATAATTACTTGAAAAAAACATATAATGAAGGAACACAGATATTTATATCTTCAAAAAAAAAAAAAAATTTTTTTTTTAAATTGTCTTCGACACAGTGAATTGTTAACAGGATGTAAACTTAAAAAATGCCTGCACCCTCGTTCGAGCACAGATCCATCCACTGGCTAAATGCGAAACCCCTACGTTTATACATATATGGCCAATTTAATAAGTTAACAACCTATATTAGAATAAAATCACAGTGTTAATGCCCCTAACTTATACAGTTGTTTTTCATTTTTTCATTTTTTTTTTTTTAATATACATACAAAAGATGTACATTTATAGCATGCAAGAGATGCAGAAAGGCTTCAAGGAGCAGAGATCAATAGGATTGGCTGAGAGAGGGTAATAGAGGTGAGAGAACTTGGTTACTGATGATCCCACCAATCTGGTCCTGGGCTTCGGCTATTGGGGTTGGATGAATACGATCCACCATACCCAGATCCTCCTCCTCCTCCTCCGCCACCTCCGTAATAATCTAAGAACAAAGCACAAAACACTCGTTTTTCACACAAAAATCATAGCCATGTTGGATTATAATTCCAAGAGTTTTTAAGTTTCAACTTAATTACAAATGCAGCATTTTATCTCAAATGACACAACCATACAACTACGAATTATTGCCTACACAAATTATTTTTTTAAACATAAATTACTATTATAACAAATTTTATATTTAACAATATCTACAGTATTGTCTACATTCTTTTTGGTATACATGAAACAAACCAAAATATTGTGTTTTGGCAATAAGCCTTTGCTACATTATTTATTTAATGCAATAAACATGTTCTTCAGCTTTTAAACAATGAAGTTTCGTCCAGCAAATCATTACTTTTGCCTATAAAATTTATTGTAAGTCCATTTGTGTATTTACTTGTAAGATTGAAATTATGTCTTATTTAAAAATGATTTTTTTTTTTTTTTAACTTATTGCTTTATTTCAGGGGATAATTCAGTTACAATTAATGAAAACAACTGAAAAGCTACAACTCAGAGACTTAGTTTAAAGTATGAATAATGATTAACAACTGAGCCATTTAAATTTAAAACGTACCAGAATGCACGTAAAACGTACCGTATTAAATTTGCTGCATTTGTTTATTTTCATTTATAAGTAACGCGGCAAAGACTTACTGTTGCTACTGTTGTACGAGTTGTAGCCTGCAGAGCCTGATCTTGTATTACCTCTATTACCACTGCTACCTCCTCCGTTTCCTTGTTGTCTGCAATCCCTAGCAGCGAACCCACCGGAGTACCTCCCACCGCCTTTCCCGGCTCTCCTTGAAGACATCGGCTGTTTCATTTCAGCCGAGAGGTTCTCGAGCCAAGCAGGAAGCTCTTGTTTGGAGTCGACGATTAAATCTATCAGGTCTCTAACTAAATTACGGTTTTTGTCATTGAAGAATGACGTCGCCAAACCTACAATAAGAAAGATACGATTATAACTGTTTTGGTAAAAAAAGTCAACATTCGTCCTTACCAAGATTTCCCATACGACCGGTACGGCCAATACGATGCACATATTCCTCAACATCGCTTGGCAAGTCAAAATTGATCACATGTTTCACATGAGGGATATCAAGACCTCGAGCAGCCACCTGGACAAAATAACAATTAGTCTTTCCAGAAATTCAATAAAAGATTAAATTTAGTAGTTTAAGTACCGCCGTAGCGACAAGAATTGGGGTATGACCAGAGCGGAAACTTCTCAAGGCTTCTTCTCGTTCTTTCTGGGTCCGATCACCATGGATTGATGTCACCGGGTAATTATGGCTATGGAGGAAGTCCTCCAGAGCATCTGCACCTTTTTTAGTTTCAACGAACACAAGCGTTAAAGATTCCTCGCCTGAAAGAACAAAACAGTAAATTAAATTATTAAATCATTATTCTGTAAAGCATTATCTACTTACTAGTTTCCTTTGCCGCTTCAAGGATATCTAAGAGAAAAGCTCTTTTGTGCAGGTCATCACACCACACTATTTTCTGAGTGATATTCTCTGAGGTCGATCCAACTCGGCCAATAGCTAAGAAAATATAATTGTCTAAAAAGTCTCGAGCTAGCATCTGAAATAAATAAAATAGAGCAATTACATGAGGACAAAAGTTTTACATTTTATAAATATTTTTAGGTGAAAAAGCTTTAACACATTCAACACGGTGGATGCCACCTGATGGACCAAATCAACATAGGATAGACAGGGTTAAAGGCTTCAGTAGGAAGTTGTCTTGAATATGCTTAATTGTGTGCTTTTATTTGAAAAATAAATTACTTGAATTTCTTTGGGGAAAGTAGCAGAAAACATCAATGTTTGCCTCTCTCCAGTCGGAGGCATTGAATCCTTTTGTACAATACGTCTTATCTGGGGTTCGAAACCCATGTCCAACATACGATCTGCTTCATCAAGCACTAAGTACCTGAAATAAAACCGAACACGTTACAAAACAAAATAGAAAAAAATAATTAAATAGAAACTTACTTGCAATTATCAAGGGCAATTTTACCCCTGTCGAGCATATCGACTAACCGACCAGGCGTGGCCACGAGCAAGTGACCTCCACGGTCAAGATCCCTCATTTGGTCTCCAATAGGAGCTCCACCGTAACTTAAAATTTAAAAGCCAATTAGATAGAAAAGTTATACATGAGATAAATAAACCTACACAACACAAGGCCTCAAACGGGAACGGTAAGCAAATTTTCTTGATTCTTCATAGATCTGCGTAGCCAGTTCTCTCGTAGGGGCGAGGACCAAGCCTAGGGGGTATAACTTACGCCTTTGTCCATACTACAAAAAAAAAATTATAATCATAAAAGTTTAATATAACAATCGGTAAGACATACCCTCGGAGGCGGGTTAATGGGTCCTGTCAACAACATCTGGTTGAGAATAGGTACGAGAAACGCTGCAGTCTTACCACTGCCTGTTTGAGCACAGGCCATCAAGTCTCTATTAGACATGATAATTGGTATCGCATGTTTCTGTACCGGAGTAGGCTTGTCATAACGTGCTAAACGGATGTTGTTAGAGATAATCTCAGTCATCTGGAGTTCATCAAACTGGAGGAACAACAACAAAATTATAAAAAAGAAAACACTATTTCTAAGGTTCGACAAATGAAAAACTAACGGAATTGATATGGGCTGGAACGTGGTCGCCAGTCGCCTCCACTGGTATGTCCTCATACTTGTTGAAGTTGATGCCAGTGTTGGCGTTCCCGAACAGCTCGAGTTCAAGGCGGTCGTCTCTTGGCATGAGGGTCGTCCAATCGTTGTTCGACTGGTGTGAAGATTTCTCCTGCCATCTGTCATTTCCTCCTTCGTGCCACCCACGCGATCCTCCAGATCGGCTACCCCAGTCGTCCCTATAAAAAAGTTTATTAATATCAATCATATAACAATTAAATAAAGTGAGACAGTCGTTTATATGATGCTTCTGAAATAAATTTTGTAAGTTAGTTCAAATTGTATAAATTATAAACAATTGTTGCTGGAAAAAAATATAGAAAAAAAAAACATGAAAATAAGCCTGAAAAAAACTGAAATATAATCAAAATAAATGCAGATTTAAAGGCCAATTTAACTGTTAAGGTCAAATATAAAATGCACTATCTACAAACAATCTGATGATTTAATAAATTATTGAATAGAAAATTAAACGACTCTAAATAAATTCTGATTATTAAGATATGGATAGTAAATGTTTTGTGAAAATTAAATGACCTGCGGTAAGAGCTTCCCCTGTTATCTCTGTCCTGCCAGCTGCCGCCATTGTAAGAGTCGTAGTCTCCATTTCTGCGACCGCCGCCACTCCTGAAATTGTCGTTGCGGCCACTGCTGCGATTGTAGCCTCCCTGGTTTCTACCACTGCGGTAGTCACTGTCGTTGAACGACGACGATGAATAGTTAGACGAAGGGTAAGACGGAGCTATCTGATGTTCAGTGGCCCGTGATTCTTCAATGAAAAAAAAAAAGTTTTAATTAAAATATAATTGTGAACAAAGATTCAGGTTTAAGTACCTCCTGAATTCTTATAACGTAGATGAGGTGGGATATAGCGATTCTCTTTATGACCACTCTGCAAGTCCAGACCAGCGAACTATAACACACAAAAAAAAAAAAAAAAATGAATTTTTTTATAAATAAATACAAAATATTTTACTTTGAAAATTTTTATTAATTGAATATGAGTGGATGAAGTTATAAATTTTTGATGTGGTTATTAAACTGCAAATACTGACTCAATTTAAGTTACATGTTAAAATAATGACATCCATAAATATGATTTTGCTAATGTAACAAGAAATTAATCATTAGAAAATAATCAGAAGTAAAATAAAACAAAAAAAAGTTATTACGCAGATAAGATTAGTAAAGATTAGATGATAATTATTGCAGTTATTTACATCTTCAATATTCTTTAACCTTCTTTAACAAGAAATTGAAATTAAATTGCATTGAAAAGTAATAAATTGTAATGCAATCTTGAATTTTTATTTTATTACTTTCAGCCATAATTATTTAAACATAAATATAAAAAATGTCACAATACTTTCTTGGCGACGATTTTGGTTTCTTTAGTAGCTCAATCGTACGAGATGTACTTGCTATACATACGTAAATTTTATGTTTTTTAATTAATTAATAAATCAAAAAGACCAACAAAAATATAGCAGGGTTATTTCAGTTTTAATTTTCACCAATTGGATACTAATCTTAAAATAGAACCTCGTTCATTCTTGCTACATGGATAGGCATCTTTATCATTCACAAAAAGTGACGAAAAAACGGAAATTCAGAGATGATGTAAACTTTCAATAAATAAACAACTGTTACATTTCTGATGATGTCTGGTTATTAGAAGTTCAACTGAACTTCTTTAAATTGAATGAAACAATTTTATTTTTATTGGCGTTATATTTATAGCAATGGCTAAATCTGAAGCATTCCAAAATAAATGTAGTTTGATTGACTGAAAAGATTTGAATTTAACAGGTGTTCATCACATTTTTAACATAGCTATCTACAAGGAAACACGATCCTCTATCAGGCCCAACTTTCAATAATCGAAAATAAATAAATTTAGTTCAGAGTGGAAAAATTTGACTTTTACTGGTGTTTGTTATATTGTAAAACATGGCTATCTAGGATTTGTTAGATCTGAAAAACGTTTTAGTATTTTTCGGAATAGATGTAGTTCTATTGACTATCAACTGAAACAATTTAACCTTAACTGGCATTCGCCATATTTTTATGATGGCAATCTAGGAAAGATGCTAAATCTGGAAAAATTATCTTACGTTTCTAATCTACAAGTCATTCTGAGACAAACTGGAACAATTTTTGGTATTCGCTGTATTTATAACATATTGAAATTCTAAGAAATGTTCCATATTTTTAACATGGTTAACTTCAAGAAACATGATCCTAAATCTGAGGATCAATTAAAGAAAACAAATAATTTTAATTCTACTGAGTATTGCTGAAACAATTTGACTTTTACTGACATTATGTACGTTTGAAAACATGGCTATCATCTAGAAATGGCGATAGACTGGAAAAACTTTGTTTTTCAGGATAAATGTAGTTTAATTGAATATAGTTGAATCGATTTGACCTTAATAGCTGTATTTTTATGATGGCCATCTCGGCACAATAAATCTGAAAAAACTGTCTTACATTTTTAAGCGTAGTTCTAATGCAAAGTGAAACAATTCTGGCTTTTATTAGTTTTTGATATAATGATGGCTAAATCTGGAAAATTCTTAGAAATGTAGTTCAATTTACTGTAACGATTTGAATTTAAAGGTGTTCATATTTTTTTAAACATAGCTATCAACAAGGATACATGATCCTAACTCCGGGGAAACTTTCTTCCATAGTTTAAAAAAAAATTAATTCTATTGCATATTGCCTGAAAAAAATTGATTTTTTCTGAGATTCTGTATGTTTCAAAACATGGCTATCAAAGGATGGTGGTAGAAGTGGAAAAACTGTCGTATTCTACCGACTACAAACATTTTAGCCTTAAATGGTGTTCGTCGTAATTTTATGACAGCCTACTAGGAACAATTTTCAACCTGGAAAAATTGTCTTACGTTAAATTTGCAGTTCTGATACAAACTAAAAACAATTTTGACTTTTACATGTGTTCGCTATATCTAAACCGATGACCACACCTGAAAATTTCTAAGAAATGTAGTTCAATTTATTGAAACAATTTTAAGCGTCTTCATCATACTTTTAATATGGCTATCTACAGGGATACATGATACTAACTCCAAGGAAACTTACTTCCATAGTAAAAAAATTAATTCTATTAAGTGTTGGCTAAAAACTTTGACTTTTTCTGACATTTGTATGTTTTAGGGCATGGCTATCTAACAACAGTGGTAAATCTAAAAAAATTGTCTTATTACTAAGAGTAAAGGTAGTTCTACTGACTGCAAACATTTTGACCTGAATTGGAGTTCGCTGTATTTTTACAACAGCCATCTACGAAAAATTCTACATCTGGAAAAATTGTCTTACATTTTTAATCATATTTCCAGTTCTGATACAAACTAAAACAATTCTGACTTTTACTAGAGTTCGCTATATCTAAACGGATGACCACACCTGAAAATTTCTAAGAAATGTAGTTCAATTTATTGAAACAATTTTATTTTAACTGTCTTCATCATACTTTTACTATGGCTATCTATAGGGATACATGATACTAACTCCAAGGAAACTTACTTCCATAGTAAAAAAAATTAATTCTATCGAGTGTTGTCTAAAAAAATTTGACTTTTTCTGACATTCTGTATGTTTTAGGGCAAGGCTATCTAACGAAAGTGGTAAATCTAAAAAAATTGTCTTATTACTAAGAGTAACGGTAGTTCTACTGACTGCAAACATTTTGACCTGAATTGGCCGTATTTTTACAACAGCCATCTACGAAAAATTCTACAACTGGAAAAATTGTCTTACATTTTTAATCATATTTCCAGTTCTGATACAAACTAAAACAATTCTGACTTTTATTAGTGTTCACTATATCTAAACCAATGACTAAATCTGGAAAATTTTAATAAATGTAGTTCAATTTACTAAAACGATTTGAATTTAGCGGTGTTCATATTTTTAACACGGATGCATGATCATAACTCCAAGGAAACCTTCTTCCATAGTAAAGAAATTTAATTCTATCGAGTGTTGTCTAAAAAAATTTGACTTTTTCTGACATTCTGTACATTTTAAAACATGGCTATCAAAGGGTGATGGTAGACGAGGAAAAATAACATTTCTAAAAGTAAATTTAACTCTACTGACTACAAACAGTTTGACCTTAAGTGGTGTTAGCCGTGTTTTTACGACACCCATCTAAGAACAATTCTACATCTCCAGTTCTGAAAACTAGAACGATTCTGATTTTCATTAGTGTTCACTATATCTAAAGTGATGGCTAAATCTGGAAAATTTTAAGAAATGTAGTTCAGTTAGAAAAGATTTGAATTTAACAGTGTGCATCACATTTTTTAACATGGCTATAAACGATCATGACCTTAAATATGGAAAAACTGTCTTGTATTTCTAAGAAAAATTGTAGTACTATTGACTTAAAGAATTGTTGATTATATTGTTAACATGGCTCCAAATCTGTAAAAAGTTGTTTTATATTATTTTTTATAATCAATTTATAATTTTTAATGGCGTTCATTGTTTTTTGTGTCTATATAAGAACAAAATCCGTAAATATTTTTTTTAATGAGTCAATTTCTTTTTTTTTTTTAATAAAAGAGAAAAATCAAATTCGCACTTTCTCCAAGTCGAATAGCGACTGTGATGACTCATATAATACACACAATGGCAAATATTTATCAAATTTTGAACGCAAAAAGGGTCTAACTTTTTACATGGGAATTAACTTCTTTTTTTTATAGGGAAATAAAAAAAGTAGAATTGTGTTTTGTTAAATTTCACACGGGAAGTGGAACTTTTGTTCTGAACGCATGATCTCACTTTTAAAATATTTTCAAGGAAACCGTTCTAAACGGTGATTTTTGTTGTAACATTTGGTTCCGTGGATAAAAGTTTTTAACTTGGCCGGTTAAAAAAAAATCCGCGTTTCGTATTTTTCTCTTGTGTAAGTAGAAAGGGACGAAATCTATGAGGAATGCGTTAGGGTTAGCTCATTAGAGGGATTTTTTTTCGCCGTTTTTCCGGCCGAAATTGAAACCGTGTTTCGGGGACTTTGTCGGAAAAAAGTCACCGACTGTATGGACTGACACGTTGCAAAGAGAAAAAAGTCCGCAAGTTTTATTGAGTCCGAAATGGAAACTGCATGGTCTCCGAATGGAGTGGACTCCGACACGGCTCCCGAATAATGGAGGGGTCGTGTCGAGATAAATGCGTGGCGACGGCTCGAATCCGGCCAATTTTCTCGTCTCCCGTCCACAGTTTTATCCTAAGTTTTAATAAAATTAACGGTAATCTCTTGTGATACTCACTTGCTGCTCTAGACCTGATCCATTTTGGTTGGGTACATTACTCATATTACTTCAAATCGAAACGTTTGTTAATTTGAACCTCTTCCAAATTGCCTTTTGTCCGAAATTGCGATCCGATGGTCAGAGAGAGTGGGTAGAACGAGCGGTAGAGTGAAAAAAAAAATAAACGAGTTAATTATAATAGAGTAGAGTGAAATAAAGAAAGACGATCAAGTCGAAGACTGGATGTACGTGAACTTGAGTGGATCCGTAAACTAAGCATCGATAGGTCGATTCTACCGGAAGCTTCGATATGTGTCAACAACCTCTACAAGGACGGGCCGAAACGGAATCGGTTCCCCTCGAATTTTGACTCTTTGAGGAAAATGGAAAATTCTGCGTTGTGGAATGTTGGGCTACGTCGAATTTAATCGCGTCCGATCCGGGAAAATGTGGGAGGAAAGGGAAACGCGGATACTGGGATCTTGAAGGAGTTATCTACATTTGCCACGAAAACTAAATCCGAGTCGATATCTCTCTTCCGTTTCTGATTTCGACAATTATTTTCGGCGAATTTTGAATCCTTGGACCTTTATCCGGGTTGGAAAAAAAGACTGGAAAAAAGAAAAATCCCGTTGGACGATTTTTTCCGCGACCTTTTTTTATTTATTTATCAGACTTTTAATTTAAATCAGAAAAAATTTGAACGCAATACTCCTTTTTTTACACTGAAAATCTGTTTTGTTCGATTTGTGTTTTGTTTTTTTATTAGTACGAACGAAAAAAAATACGGGCTCGCAAATATTAACTCGCGAATTTCCTAGCTGAAAACGGATTTTCGATTATTATCGCGTTGAAGATTCAGTGGGTCGTGAACGGGTTTCGGTTCATCAGCACTCTTCACTCTAGTTCGACACGTTCCCGATCGTCTAAGGGCTGAAAAACATGCACCCACCAGCAAGAGAACCCACTCTCCCGCCACATTCAACTCTCATTTCTTACGCCAAAACTGTTTCTGATTTTTTCCCATTTAGAATACTAATTCTACACAAAAATATTCTAAAACATTCCTTTTTTCTTGTATTTCTTTACAAAGAGTATTCCTTTCTAACGATGATTGCTCTCATTCTCTGATTGAAAGATTAAATGTTGAAAGAAACAACATACAAGATCACTACACTAAAAAAAAAATAAGATCGTTTCCCACCCAAAATCTTTTCTCTTTTTCATTTCTTTACAAAAGAATATTTCTTTTGATTGTTAATTGCTCTCTTTCTTTGATAAAATTGGAAATGTCGAAAGAAATAACATTCGCACTGATTCTGATTGATGAAGATCATTTTCTTAAAAACACAAGATTTTTGCTCACCCAAGGACTTGTTGCTCTAAACATTGTTTAAATTATACAATAATTATTATAAAACAATGTCTATAAATCCCAGGCCAAGAAGATGATCATAATAAAGATCAAAACTTAGGCACGATAAAGAAAATGTTTTTCAAACCTATGCCACACCGGACCGCATCTCACGATCTCCAAATAATCATTAACTAATGATCTCTAAACACCACACATTTTTACAAAAGAATATGTCCTTTGAATGTTAATTGTTCTCTGATTAAAAGTTTAAATGTTGAAAGAATCAATCAACATTCTTGGATCCTTGCTCGCCCAAAGAGTGTCTTTTTCAAATTAAAAATACTAATTCTATACTAAACTAAAGTCTTGTTGATCAAAATATTCAAAAACACAGCTTTTTATTCATTTTCCAACAAAAGTTGTCTTGTTCCGATTAAAAATACAAATTCTAGACAAAAATACCCTCTTCCTGATAAAAATATTAAAAAATATTAATTCATTTATGTTTACTGGTCTAACTGACCAATTTACTTATTTCTTTTTAAAGGATAATTAATTGAATTAATATGGTGAATGGTGAACACTAGACATATATGTATTAATATTTAAAAAAAACATTGCTTTTTATTCATTTCTCAACAAAAAGAATATTTCTTGTTAATTTTTGTTGTTTTTAAATGTTGAAAGAAACAATCAATATTCTCACTGATTCTGATTGGTAAATCTGATGATACTGAAAACTCAAAGATCCGAAAGTCTGCTGATTAAAAATATTCAACCTATTGAAATTAAATTCGACTCTCATTTCTCATGCCAGTACTCTTTCTGATTTTTTCCCATTTAGAATACTAATTATACACAAAAATATTCTAAAATATTACTCATTTTTTGTATTTCTTTACGAAAGAGTATTCCTTTCGAACAATGATTGCTCTCATTCTCTGATTGAAAGTTTAAATGTTGAAAGAAACAATCAACATTCTTGGATCCTTGCTCGCCCAAAGAGTATCTTTTCCTGATTAAAAATATTAATTCTACACTAAACTACACTTGTTGATTAAAATATTTAAAAACACTGCTTTTTATTCATTTCCCAACAAAAGTTGTCTTGTTCCGATTAAAAATACTAAGTCTATACAAAAATACCCTCTTCCAGATAAAAATACTAAAAAACATTTATCCATTTATGTTTACTGGTCTAATTGACCAAATTACTTATTTCAAATAATTTTACCTTTTATGTAAGGTCTTGGTTGAGATGAAAAAGTGTCACGAGAGGGATTCGAACCCACTCTCCCGACACATTTGACTCTCATTTCTCACGCCAAAACTTTTTCTGACTTTTTCCCATTTAGAATACTAGTTCTACACAAAAATATTCAAAAACATTACTCATTTTTTGTATTTCTTTACATAAGAGTATTCCTTTCTAACAATGATTGCTTTCATTCTCTGTTTGAAAGAATAAATGTCGAAAGAAAAAATAAATTAGTAATTAAAAATACTAATTCTATACTAAACTACACTCTTGTTGATCAAAATATTCAAAAACACTGCTGTTTATTCATTTCCCAACAAAAGTTGTCTTGTTCCGATTAAAAATACAAATTCTAGACAAAAATACCCTCTTCCTAATAAAAATAATAAAAACAACTTTAAACAACAAGAATTAATTAATTCTTTTTACTAAGGTCTTGGTTAAGATGAAAAAGTTAGACATTAGAATTGAAATAATTAATGTGGTAAATTATGACCAAGGACATAAATGGATTAATATTAAACATTAATTATTTTATTAATATATTAATATATAAAAACATTGCTTTTTATTCCTTTCCCAAACAAAAAGAATATTTCTTTTGAATATGTGTTTCTTAGTGACCTGTTGTTTCATAATTTGATGAAGTTGGTATGAGCAGTAAAAAATGAGATAGTACAGAAAAACACCTTTTTAATTTTTTAATTGGGCCTGGGTAAATTACAAAACATATGTTGATTGTAAAAAATAACATTTAAGATTTAAATATAAATTTTGAACCAAGTATTTCATGCTATTCATAAAGTGTCAATACAACACCACAAGAATAGCACCACACTTTATGTGGGAATAAAGTACTTGGTTCAAACTTTATATTTACATCTTAAATTGTATTTTTTCCATTCAACATGCTTTGTAATTTACCCAGGCCCTGAAGATGACCCAAATAACCAAACAAATGTTGAAACATTGGCAAAAAAATGAAAAATGTGTTTTTCTAAACTACCTCATTCTTGACCACTCCTCATGACTTCAATAAATTATTTCTTTTGAATGTTGAATGAATTTGGAATTAAAAGTTTAAACGTTGAAAGTAACAATCAACATTATCACTGATTTTGATCTGATGTTGTCGAAAACTCATAGATTATTGCCAACCCAAAGACTGTCTTTTTCCCATTAAAAATATAAATTCTACACAAAAATAACCTCTTCTGGATAAAATAATTCAAAAACTTTTTTTCCATTTCTTTACAAAAAAATGATTATTTGGAGATTGTGAGATGCGGTCTGGTGTGGCTTTAATCGTTTAAATTATGCAATAATTATTATAAAACAATGTCTATAAATCCCAGGCCCTGAAGATAATCTCAATAAAGATCAAAATTTTGGCATGATAAAGAAAATGTTTTTCAAACCTACGCCACACCAGACCGCATCTCACGATCTCCAAATAATCATTAACTAACGTTCACTAAACACCACACATTTTTACAAAAGAATATGTCCTTTGAATGCTAATTGTTCTCTGACTAAAAGTTTAAATGTTGAAAGAAACAATCAACATTCTTGGATCCTTGCTCATCCAAAGAGTGTCTTTTTCCAATTAAAAAATATTAATTCTATACTAAACTAAAGTCTTGTTGATCAAAATTTTCAAAAACACTGCTTTTTATTCATTTCCCAACAAAGTAATATTTCTTTCCTAATTTCAATTCCTCTTGATCTGTAATAATAGTTTAAATGTTGAAAGTAACAATCCCACCCAAAGTCTGTCTTTTTCTATTTAAAAATATTAATTCTACACAAAAATACCCTCTTCTGGATAAAAATATTCTAAAACATGTTTTTTTTTTTAATTTTTTACAAAAAAAATATTTCTTTTGAGCATTAAGTGCACTCGTTCTCTGATTAAAAGTTAAAATGTTGAAAGAAACAATATTCTCACTGATTCTTATTGACGAAGATCAATTTGTTAAATAAGCAAAGATCCTTGCTCACCCAGGAAATTTTGGACTGTCTTTTTCAAATTAAAAATACTAATTCTATACTAAACTAAAGTCTTGTTGATCAAAATATTGAAAAACACTGCTTTTTATTCATTTCGCAGCGAAAGTTGTTTTGTTCCGATTAAAAATACTATTTCTACACAAAAATATCCACTTCCTGATAGAAATATTCAAAAACATTTCTCATTTTTTGCAATTCTTTACAAAACATTTTAGTGACTTTTTTCTTTAAGCATTACCAAACATTTTTTATTATATTTGAACTGAAAGCTTTTAGTTTAATTATCTGCTGGTCTTATACTACCCAGTGATAACTTTAACACTCTAATTGATGATGCCACAATAAATACATTGTTTAATATTGTCATTTAATCGTGCAAGTTTCCTGCCTTTTAATTACTCATCTGTCAAGCTCTACCTTTCTATTTAAAGATTGGAATGTTTAAAGAAAATTTATTACTTATTGTCACTGAAACATCTTTCATTCGCAATCTCTTTATTTTATTTATTTATTTTTTTTTTGCTCAGTACATCAATGGTTATTCTGATTAGAGAAACACATATACATTTTTTACAGCATATTTATTTTTGTGGATATTATTCGAACCAAGGTTCTTTGGACTAATAATTCTTGTTAGAAATTTTGGCTGAAAATTTTATAATGAGTTAGAGTGTTAATGGGGGTGTTTTGAACCCTTAGAATTCACATAACACACATTCTTCAATGAGGTGAATGTGTGTTAAAGATGTATTTTTCAATGGGAACTTTAGAAAAAAAAAAGTCGCTCAATAAATATTTTTTCATTTTTAAATTAATATTTCTACTGTATACTGTTCATGAAGAACTTGATTTGTATTTTTTTTTTTTTTGCTAAATTGCTGCTTAGGGCATGCCACATCTTCGTCAGGCTCCAAAGCAGAAGGTGGAGGTTTTAGCAATCGCCTGTTGGTGACCAATAGGGTTTTAGCACTTGTACCCCGTTCAAAGATTCCTAGGACCGGTAGATTTTTGATATTATGCCTAATTAAATTAAAAGAAATCACAACACAGACGTTTCCGTTTGAACCATTTTTGGCATAGTTATGCAAACAGAGTAGTCGATTAAAGCTTAAAAAATCTAGGTAAGCCATAGAAAAATTTATATTGCTAAAAAAAGTAACATGTTATAAATTTACAGTCGGTAACACGTTGTAATTGTTTATTTTAGAAGCGATGGAGTTCAAAAGTTTATTTTTATTACTTTTAATAAACCTTAATCATGCCTACTCGAAGAAAAAACCCAAGTCGGTTACGACAGTCATTGACGCTAAGTGGGAAATCACACCGCTGGCACTCGAGATGGCGGAATTCTTGGCCGATGAGAACCCCAGCTTGTATTGGAAGTTTGTCAACTCGCTGTCATCTCTTGAACCGCCGTTGGTAGACGAGAGTAAGTGATAAACCGCTGTTACTGCTTTCTCACTACTTGGTCTTCTATGTTCATAGTGATTTCCAGTACTACGGTTGAATTTGTAGTTTGGTTGAGTCCCGATCATCCTGGTCTGACATACGAACCAAAATTTGTTATGATCAAGCTGGAAAATGTCTTATGTGAAATATGATGAAGTTGTGTGCAATTTTATGAATCTGTAGCTTGTTTGTCCTTGATTATCCTGTTCACTGAAGAAGGCATGTTGCTGAAATCTGTCTAACAAGCTATATTAACACAAATAAGCAGACCATTATGATCTCGGAAGGTGAAACTAAAAGAAAATACCATTGGTGAAATGTGATGATGTGGTCTGGATGTGATGAATTTGTAGTTCATTCATCTTTGATTATCCTGTTCTCCAAAGAAGACGAATTGCTGAAATGTGCCTGACAGGCTAAATTAACACAAATAAGCAGACCAGTATGATTTGGGAAGGTGAAACTAAAAAAAAAAAAACCATTGGTGAAATGTGATGATGTGGTTCGCATGTGATGAATCTGTAGTTCGTTCGTCCTTGATTATCCTGTTCACTGAAGAAGGCAAATTGCTGAAATGTGCCTAAAAGTCTATATTAACACAAATAAGCATACCAATATGATTCGGGAAGGTGAAACAAAGAATATGATTTTTGAAATGTGATGATGTGGTTTGCAAGTGATGAATCTGTAGTTCGTTTGTCCTTGATTATCCTGTTCACTGAAGAAGGCAAATTGCTGAAATGTGCCTAAAAGTCTATATTAACACAAATAAGCAGACCAATATGATTCGGGAAGGTGAAACTAAAAGAATATGATTTTTGAAATGTGATGATGTGGTTTGCAATGTGATGAATCTGTATTCATTCACCCTTGATTATCCTGTTCACTGAAGAAGGCAAATTGCTGAAATGTGCCTAAAAGTCTATATAACACAAATAAGCAGACCAATATGATTTGGGAAGGTCGAACTAAAAGAAAATACCATTGGTGAAATCTGATGATGTGGTCTGCATGTGATGAATTTGTAGTTCGTTCATCCTTGATTATCCTGTTCACCAAAGAAGGTGTATTGCTGAAATAAGCAGACCATTATGATTTGGGAAGGTGAAACTAAAAGAATATGATTTTTGAAATGTGATGAATATGTAGTTCATTCGCCCTTGATTATCCTGTTCACTGATGAAGGCAAATTACTGAAATGTGCCTGACAGGCTAAATTTACACAAATAAGCAGACCAATATGATTTGGGAAGGTCGAACTAAAAGAAAATACCATTGGTGAAATATGATGATGTGGTCTGTATGTGATGAATTTGTAGTTTGTTCATCCTTGATTGTCCTGTTCTCCAAAGAAGACGAATTGCTGAAATAAGCAGACCATTATGATTCAGGAAGATAAAACTAAAAAAATATGATTTTTGAAATGTGATGATGTCTGCAATGTGGTGAATCTTTAGCTTGATAACCTTTGATCATTCTGATCATGCAAAATGGCAAAAATCCTTCAACACGTGAAAAATATCATTGGTAAAATTTTATGATATGGGCTGCAATGTGATGAATCTGTAGATCGTTCATCCTTGATTATCCCGTTCACTGATGAAGGCAAATTACTGAAATGTGATAGCCTAAATAACACAAAAGAATATACCATTTGTGAAATGTGATGATGTGGTCTGCAATGTGGTGAATCTTTAGCTTGATCACCTTTTATCATTCTGAACATGCAAAATGCCAAAAATCCTTCAACACGTGTATACAAAACCAGCAATGTACTAAAGCTAGAAAAGTGTTCCTTTTATAAAATCTTCATTTAAATAATCCCATAGGCTGATCACCCTTAATCAACCTTTCAATGAGAGTTGCATAATGGTGAAATGTCCCTGGCAGACAAAACCAGCGATGATTGATGATGATCAAGCTGCAGGATTTTCCAAATCTCTTATAATTTTATTTTGAGTACAATGTAAGTCAGTCTCTTCTGCAATGATCTTATTTAATACATCAAATAATTATTATACACCAAAAATCAGCTTATACATTGATTTTAATATATTGATTTTATGTCTCAGAAACAGACAAGGATTATTATGAACGGGCGTTGGGCCTTCTCGACCCTCTTCTTTCCCAGCCACAGATATCCTTGATGAAATTTAGCTTGAGTTTGCATGTGTATTCGCCCAGGGTGGAGATGTTCTGCCAAATAGCAAAAGAGAAAGGCGTGGTGTGCCCTGCTGCTGTCGAATTGGGAGGTGAACTCTACTGTGATTATGACGAGTTTCAGAATGCATTAACTGAGGTAAGTTTTTCTACTAAGTGAAAAATGCTATGATATATGATTCAGTTTTATTTATTTAATTTTTTTATAGGGTGTTAAGAGCAGTAATGTTACATCTAATTTAATTCGCTTAGATCACAAATTCCTTAAAGGTGACAAAGGTCCTCTGACCATTCTCTACGGTGAAATAGGGACTCCTGAGTTTGCAAAGTTTCACAAATTGTTAAGCCAAAAAGCAACAGATAATGAATTACAGTATGTAGCAAGGCATTGGGTCAAGGTAAACTTGATTTTTTATTTTTTAAACAAAAACTAACAAGAACTGATTTCTAAACTCATCTTGACTTTTAGGAAAGGCAGCCAAGAAAACTTCGATTATCTGGTTATGGAGTTGAACTTCAGCTGAAATCGACTGAGTATAAAGCTCAAGATGACACGAAAGTTGAAAGTGGCACTTTAGAAGATGCCGAAGAAGATGAGGACGAAGAAGTTGAAGGTTTCCACTTCAGCAAGCTAAAGTCTGTTTCAAATAGTTAATTATTAAAGAAAAAATTGTTATTTTTTTATACTTACATATTTCAGATTCTTGTATCCTGATAAAACACAAAATTTAGATAAATTCCGGCAAGAGTTGTTAGAGTCTTCGAGCGAGCTCGCTCCGCTCAAAGTATGGCAGTTTCAAGAGCTGAGTCTCCAGGCGGCGCAGCGTATAATGTCTGCTCCGAAGGAAGAGGCCTTAAACACGCTGTCGTTCATCTCTCAGAACTTCCCGAGTCAAGTATGAATGGCAGTGTTTCCTTAAATTGTTTAATGTTGAATTTTAACAACCTATGTCCGTCAGGCGAAGTCTTTGGTAAAAACGACGGTGAACCAAGACTTCAAGAATGAAATGAGGAAGAACCAGGATCGGTTCACGTCTTCACTACATTTACAGCCCTCAGATACAGCCCTGTTCATCAACGGGATGTTCTTTGACCTTGAGACACAAGATATATTCTCAATCCTTGAGTACATAAGGGAAGAACTTAGAGTTATGGAAGGACTTAACGATATAGGTAGTCATAATCAATCCTGGCTTCTTAATTTATATAAATATTTAATGTATAGTCATAAAAAATTAATATTACATCTTAAGAATATTTAATTTAAAGCACATTTAAAAATATGCTTGTTTTATTACTTTTTAAATTTTTCAGGCATATTTGAAAAAAAAGTTTTCAAATCTTTACTGACTCTTGATCTAAGCAGCACAGGCGTTGATTTTGGCCTTGATATCAGAGATTCTGCAGTTCTTTGGATAAATGATATTGAATCGGATAAAGCATATTCCAGGTGGTCTTCTTCCTTACTTGACCTTCTTCGTCCAACATTTCCCGGGATGATACGGTCCGTCAAAAAAAATCTGTATAATTTGGTTAGTACATTTCACACGTTTTATACGTTCGATTTTATTTTATTCAACGCAATTTTCAGGTGATTATCGGAGATCCATCAAAAAACGACGTAATCCCTCTTGTCAAGTTAATGCAGTCGTTTTTGGTGCATAACGCACCCCTTAGGCTTGGACTCGTATTTGCGATTGATTATAAGAAAAACGGTCTAGAAGACGCTGGAGTTGCCATGCTGAACGCTTACAACTACATAGCAGAGATAAAAGATAACTCTCAAGCACTGAACTTTTTAACCGATGTAAAAATTTAACGTAAAACTGCTAATTTTGCAATATTTAAAAATACGTTTTAATCTAGATATATGCAGCGGTAACGGATGATATTAAACCTGAAGATGTTCATGAACTGTTGTCTGTCAAATTCCCAGGTCATAAAAAAGATGAGATTTTTGGCCCCGATTCCGATTACAACACAGGATTGAAATTGTCCGCCGAGTTTGTTGAAAAATCTGGATTGAGAAAAATGCCCCAGGTAAGTACGACAGTTCGATAGAAATGATAATAATAATGATTTTGATATATTCAGGTACTTCTTAACGGTGTTCCTCTCCCTGAAAAATCCTTGACTTCTGAGGATTTTGAGGAAGCCGTGTTGAGCGAAATAGTGAATCAGACACCCATACTTCAAAAAGCTGTGTACAAAGGGGAACTAAGTGATACAGACAATGTAGTCGATTATCTTATGGAACGTCCCAATATAATGCCCAGGTAGATTTGTCAAATTTGTTTTTAAAACAAAATTATTTATCTTGATATCTATCTTGATCTTCAGACTCAACGAGAGGATCCTTACAACTACAAAAAGCAAGTATCTGAGCTTGACAAAATTCACCGACCAGTCGATTTTAGATCTGATCGACAAACATTTGTTTTATGGGTCAAGTAAAAAAGGCCAGGGTAAACGCAGCGTGCACTTTTTGTCCAACTGGCTCATTGTCGATCTCACCACAGAGCAAGGGCGTAATCTCCTTGCAAATTCACTCGAACAGATTGTATGCCTTTATCATTTTTTTTTTAAATTTTTAGATTTTGTTAATTCACTTTTTTTTATATTAATATTAAGGAGGGAAATAGTAAAGTCAGGACAAGTCTGATCATAAACCAGAAGGAGCCAGGTTATAAAAACATAAACAAAATAGCACTTTCTGTATTGATGCAAGGCTCGGAAAAAGTTGGCTCGACATTGAGGCAAATTCTCAACGATCATAGTTTAATTGAATCAGGAAGTAAAACTTTCTCAGATTATGGTGTTAAGGTAACCCCCAAAATTTGAAATATTTTAACCAGTGAAAACATGCTGAACACTATGTATTTCAGGAAGTCGACGAGCCTAAAGTTGAGTGGGTGTTAAAATTCCACGCGCAGTTTGTCAAAGATGTGTTGGATTTCCAACCAGGTAAGCACGGCGTCGTCAGCAACGGGCGTGTACTCGGACCGTTCGAGCCACATGAATCATTCACTCAGGACGACTTTGGCCTCTTGGAAAGATTCAGCTCCACATCCTACATAGACAAGATTTACCAAGCTATATTGAAAAACTCAGAAGGTAAAATATTTTCTCGATATTCCAGAAAAAAAATGGATTTTGCTGTGAATTGTATGGTTTTGTTAGTTTCTTTGTTTTATCCAATTGGTTAACACGTCTGCTGTGAGAAGTTGGTCTTAACATGAATGATTTGTCTAAAGACTCAGTTGAGCGGATTTTTCCACCTCATTTTGCCCTTTCAGCCTTGAATTACAATAAATGAAACAAAACTTTTTTTTTTATCAATGTTAATTTTGTTTGCTTTCTTATTTATGAAAATTTGATATATAATTTCAATTCAAGAGCTTTGTCATCCAACAAAACAAAAAACAACCTGGTGAATTCTAAAATAAATGCATTGCTTTAAAGGTGGCCATTCACGATCGCTCCAAGCAGTCCAAACGGAGCGACGCCGTTCCAAAAATCACGTCAATTGCAAAACTGAACTGGCATGCCCGGCTGTGCCGAATATTCAACCGGTCCAAACTTCATCGCGCCACTCCAAATATCTACGGCGCCACGACGGCATGGCGCGTTCGTGAATGGGAAAACATGGCGTGGAAGGTGGGGATTTTGGCGCGCTGGCCTGGTCATGAATGGGAAAACCCTCATTTTTTTGGCGCAGTCTCCGTCTTTCTGTCAGTGAGCAAACATCTCCATCGTACATTCTCAAAAATTCAAAAAACGTTTATTATTTATTGGTAATGACATCCAATCGAGATTTTATTGTTGAGGTGACTGAATTGTATGAAAGTTTACCATGTTTATGAAAGTGGTGGACAATGATTATATTACCACGATAGAAATAAAAGAAATTCGATCCTCAACCAGTTGGTCGACGTTTTCAAAACAAAGGATACAAATGCAATGAGAGATGCGGTATTGATAACCCCTAACAATGATCAGAAATCGTAGTAGAGAACTTAAGTTCTTTGTAGTTCATCCCTGTAGCGAGAAATCGTAATGTGGTTGCCAACCTTTCATGTAGTGATGATTTCTCTCATGACTGTCTTTTGTTTTCTAATCAAGGGGGTAACAAGCTGGAGTAAATATAAATAAGACGTTAATTTTTTTTTTGTAAGGTTTTGGTTGAAATGAAAAAATAGTGTCACGAGAGGATTCGAATCCACGACATTCGGCTAAATACGCCGCTGCGCTAACCACTTGAGTTATCCTGACTTCGATAGTTCGATCCACTCGGGCACCAACTCCCCATCTCAACGTACAACCTTTTGAATTTTCTCTCTTTTTGCCATTTTTTGGTGTCAGAGAGGATCGAAGTCACAATAGCTCAAGTGGTAGAGCAGCGGCGTATTTAGCCGAAGGCCATGGATTCAGACCCCCCTCTTGGCACTAGCTTTTTCATTTCAACCAAAACCTTACAAAAAAGATTAAATAATAGAAAGAAGTAATTTGGTCAATAGAACACTAAATATAATGAATAAATAAGACATTTCATTCATCCTTAAATAGTTCCTCCAATCAGTGGGTTCAAAGGAAAGATCTTTCATCAAATTGATGTGGGTATTACGGCTTCTGTTCAGAGCCACTTCTTACACCATTTCCTCTTCAATTTTTTGCTTTTAATATGTAAATAAACAGAAGAGTAGCACAAGAGATCGTCATCCATTTTGAGAAGGTTCACTGGTTGACGTTCGGAGCGACTGGCTGTAGAGCGGTCGTGAATGCCTCCTCAAATTTCAGGCACTCCAAATGGAGCTGTACGGCTTGGCGTGGTTCCATTTGGAGTGATCGTGAATGGCCACCTTTATATCAAACCTGATGTAGGACAGTGCAGAATAATATTGTGTGTGTGTTCCCAGAGAAAAAAAAAATCATTTCAAAATATATATTTATTTTATTGTTAATCTAAAATGTAATGTCCTTAATTTTCTATTACACTATCAACGCTCTGGTAGCAGAAATATCCACTTTTTGTAAAAATCTGATTACTTATACAAAGATGAAATCTGTTAGTCTGATTTTCAGAGCGTTTTTGTTTGAAAATTCCCTACCTTTTAACCGACGGTTTAAGGAGTAGAAGGGCAAGGTCCGGAGAGATGGTAGAGTGTTGTTGCCAGCCTGACTCTGTTGATTTAATTGTGAGTTCGTCTGTGCCAGGTCTGGCTTTGTCATGGTAAAACACAATGTCAGGTCTATTCATCAAGGCTGGACTTTTTCATTCTACGCTGATCTAAGATGCTCTGGTCGCATTATACCTCTGCTATAAGGTTTGGTTGAGTGGTAACAGTTCCTAATAAATTATTCCTTAAATATCCTAAAGAGACAGTAGGATCTTATGGTGCAGTCTTCTCTTGTCATCAGCGGTGTTTCATTCTTTTTGCAAACAACCTTTGGTGTTTAACATGCTTGTAAAGGACCCACTTCTCATCCTTCTTATTTATCCCTATTTAAGTGTGAAACGCAATAAGGATCTTTGATTTCTGAGGGATGAATCAGGCGTTCTTAAGTTTCACAACGCAATCACTGGGTGGATTTGTTGAGATAGATAATAATTGATGTCAATTGTCAAGTCTGGATTGCTTTCAGTTCTTCAACATGATAAGCTCTTTGAGTTGCACTGTTGTTCGTTTCATCCTGACAAATTAAAAATATTAATTAAAGAAAAAAAAAAATGTGAAGACAATTTACATTGCAAATGATATAGGAAATGGTGTCTCCTTGCTTAAACCTTTTAGCGGAAGCTGAGTTCATCCTTAATGCAACTTGAACATGCGGCAAAGCCTTGCTGTATGCGTAGTTCTCCGGGGCTTTAGTTAACTGCTTCGTCACCGTCAGGAGCGTAAGAAGGACCTTGTTATTTTCAAGGCCACCTCTTATATCCTCAAGATAGCCATGCTTTCTATCCTGTCATCATTTGACCGAGCTGATAATATCTGCTTAAGCAAAAATTAAGGAAATTATGTATCATTACAGACATGATAAATCATCTTTAGAGGAAGAGGAAAACGATCGGATTCTTCTTTCTATTGTGCGATGTACCTGGAATCCCATTAAAAGCTCTGCTACAGTTAATTTGTCCTCCAGTAATAAATAATAATAATTTTAAGCCCGTTAATTGTTCCGTGAGGCCGGATTTTGATTCGTCTCTCTCCATTACAAAAATGACGGAACCAACTGTTGACTCACACAATCAGTTACTACGATATCACCATAAATTGCACCTAAATTTTGACAAATGCTGCTCTATGCCCGATATGGAACTAGTATAGAAAGCAATGCCTCAAATGAATATTATTTGTTTCCATGTCGTATACATGGCAGTTTATTCTAGGCTGACTTTTTGAATCAACTACCTCATTCTTAATAATCACTTTCAAATGGGCTTTTCCCACTGTAGAGCTAATGGGCCTAGCAGGTAAAAGGGATTGCCTTTATAATAATGCAAGTCAAAATTGGAAAAGAATGAAAAAACTTATAAACAAACCCAATAGATAATAAAATCACTAGCAGGGCATCACATTTGTGATACATTGTCCTCACTAAGTTATTACCAGGAATTTTTTTGTATGTAATTTGTTCGTTACTGATCTGGTCAAATTACATGATCATCACCCTGCTGACTACAAAAAGAAATCTCAGAATTTATTTATATCATTTTTTAAATTTTTTTTTTTAAATTACAGATTTAGAGTCTGTCACGAGTGATATGTTAATGAAAGCAGTTTCATTGCTTGCCTCAAGGCCTGAATCTAAAAGTAGATTTGAGGTGAACTCATTTGGTGAAGAACACAGGTATTTATTTTTCAATAACCATTATAAATATTGATTATTTATAAATTTTTCTTAAAAGCGTGGTCAAGTTACCCCCGGCATCGGAAGGTTCTGCATTCAGTCTTGTTGCTATAGTCGATCCCGTTTCCAGTGGGGCACACAAAGTAGGCACCATACTTTCAGTATTGCAACAAGTTATCAACTGTGATATAAAAATATTTTTCAACTGCGTTGAAAAAAATAGCGATATGCCACTCAAAAGGTTTGTGAATAGTTAAGACCAAATTTTATTTGTTTTTAATAATTATTTATTTTATTATATACAGTTATTACCGTTATGTCCTTGAGCCGGCGATTCAGTTCACGCCTTTAGGACAACTGGCATCAGGCCCCATGGCCAAGTTTTCAAACATGCCGGGGGCACCTCTGTTAACGCAGAACATGCTTGTCCCTGACAATTGGATGGTCGAAAGTATCGCTAGCCCTCATGATTTAGACAACATAAAACTCGACCAGGTCAACTCTAATGTTCACAGGTAATACAATATTGATTTATCGATTTATTTAGGATTTTTCTCATAGATATAATTATGTTTAGCAATTTCGAACTGGAATACCTCATTCTGGAAGGTCATTGTTTTGACTCTTTGCTCGGAACGCCGCCAAGGGGGCTCCAAATAACGCTTGGAACTGAACGCTCTCCAACCGAATTTGACACCATTGTCATGGCTAATTTAGGCTATTTCCAACTGAAAGTAAGTTTCAAGATTGTTCATTATTTTGAAATTTAGTTATTTGCACCACTTTTTACTATTTTAAATCAAAAGATTCGATGTGATTAAGTAACTTTATTTTTTTATTTAAGGCTAACCCAGGAGAATGGACTCTAAGATTAAGGCATGGAAGATCTGCAGCACTGTATGACATAATAGGCTATGGGTAATAAAAATATTCAGTTTTTTGTTCATTTAGAAAGAAATCTTTTTTAAAATAATCTATATTTATGTTTAGCCACGCCGGTGTCGATTATCCAGTAAATTCTTCCGAAATAAAAATTCTTCTGAGCTCGTTTAGATCTCATACAATAAAGCTGAAGGTCAATAAGAAGCCAGATAAAACTAACGTTGATCTTCTTGGTGATGAAGAAGAACAACAGGGTTTGTGGGGGTCAATAGCAAGGTAACAATTTTCAAAATTGACTGTTCAAACTCTTTAACTGACTTATTTTTTTTTTAAGCACTTTCGGCGGTTCTGGTGATAACGGGGAAAACAAGGAAGAAGTTATTAACATATTCTCCGTCGCATCGGGACATTTATATGAGAGATTTTTAAAAATTATGATGCTCAGCGTTCTCAAACATACAAAAACTCCCGTTAAATTTTGGTTTTTGAAAAATTATTTATCACCGACTTTGAAGGTAAGGTACCTGGAAGAAATCAAATTTCAACAAAATCAAAAACATAAAGCACTCTCGATTCTAGGATTTTCTACCACGAATGGCAAAACATTATGGATTCAATTATGAGCTGGTTCAGTATAAATGGCCCCGCTGGCTCCACCAGCAAACTGAAAAGCAAAGGATCATCTGGGGTTACAAAATTTTATTCTTAGATGTCCTATTTCCACTTGATGTTAAGAAGATAATATTTGTCGATGCAGATCAAGTATGATTTTATTGAATAGTTTTTTTTTTTACTTTTCTGACAAAAAAAAAAACTTTTAGGTTGTTAGAGCTGATATGAAAGAATTGGTGGATTTAGACCTCGGTGGTGCTCCATACGCTTACACTCCGTTTTGTGAGAGCCGAACTGAAATGGATGGTTTTAGGTAGTGAAAATATAATTAATCATTGAACTTTTAAATTTTTACAATTATTTATGTCTGAAGATTTTGGAAGAGCGGCTACTGGCGAAATCATCTGCAAGGGAGGAAATACCACATTAGTGCATTGTACGTCGTGGACTTGAAACGTTTCAGGCGTGTAGCTGCTGGCGATAGGCTCAGGGGGCAGTACCAAGCACTCAGCCAAGACCCAAACAGTCTTTCAAACCTCGATCAGGTAAGTTGTTCAAGTTTTATTCAAGTTATATTAAAATTTCCGCTCAATTATATTTTCAGGATTTACCGAATAACATGATCCATCAAGTCGCTATCAAGTCTTTACCGCAAGAGTGGCTATGGTGCGAGACGTGGTGTGACGACGAATCAAAGAAAGTCGCAAAAACAATAGACTTGGTTTGTTATTCAAATATTATTATTTTATTTAAAAAAATAAAAATGTCTTACAAATAATTTATATTTCAGTGCAATAACCCATTGACTAAGGAAGCAAAACTTACAGCCGCCATGAGAATAGTCTCTGAGTGGAAAGATTATGATAACGAAATTAAAGAAGTTTTACTTAAAATTGGTGAAACAGAAGATCATGAGGAAGAAAATATTGAACCAGGTATTTTTATCTATGTTTACGCAAAACTTACATATAAATAAATATTATATTTAAAAAAAAATATCAACAATTGTATTTTTGTCTTGTCAGATAGAAAAGTTTTATGTAAGTTAACCTATTTGTTCCCAATTAATTATATTTATTCAGAAATCGTGAGATGTGGTCTGGTGAGATGTAGGTTTCAGAAAAACATTTTCTTTATTGTGCCAACGTTTCAATATTTATTGAGATCATCTTCAGGGCTGGGATTTACAAACATTGTTTAAATTTAACAAAAACATGTAGGATGTGGAAAAAAGTGAATTTATACAATGCAAATAAATATTTTTTTTATTTTCAATCAAAGTATTTTTGCTCTATTACTTCTATTCTACTTTGATTGAAAATAAAAAATATTTATTTGCATTGTATAAATTCCCTTTTTCCACATCCTACATGTTTTTGTTAAATTTAAACAATGTTTGTAAATCCCAGGCCCTGAAGATGATCTCAATGAAGATTGAAACGTTGACACAATAAAGAAAATGTTTTTCTGAAACCTACATCTCACCAGACCGCACGATATCTGAATAATCATCGACAAACAGTCACTAATCACCAGACATTAGTTATATTTTTTTCTTGTTATTTTCCCTATTTTAAAAATTTTGTTTTAACACTTATTTTCATTTTGCATAATTTAAAACTTGTTTGAGTATAGGTCATGACTTTTTCTGTTTCTTTGTTTCAGTTCCAAAGCCAACTCCTGATGTCCACAGTGAGTTGTAAACACGCCAATAAGGAAAAACAAACCAGAAAGAAAAAACAAGTCATAGAGAAGAAGACAAGACTGCCAAAACAAAAGGAATACTTCCTTTGCAATTTTTAATTATTACCTTTCACTTTTAAACAACTTTCATTGGCTACAAGTGAAAGTTTTTAAATTTCTCTATATTTGCCAAATGCTCACATACATATATATATTTTTAGCATCTCATTCAAATGTTGAAAGGTGGTGTTTTTTAAGAATTTGTTTGTGATATTAAAAGGTATATTGGATACCTTTTTTAGTTAATTAATTAGGACAGAATAAATAAATATAAAAATAAACTAAATTTTCCAATAGAATTTGCATATTTCAGGGAAAATAAATTAATATAAATAAATGAAAATGTTAAAATTTTGGGGGGGGGGGAAATGAGCAGATTTTAATTTTGATTTACACGGATCAAAACAGGAAAAACGCTTTCACTCTTCTTCTTTTATAACTAATGATTTTTGTAATTTCTTCAAAGCGCGAATAGTCGAATTTTCTTCATGTTCGCATATGTACTTGAGCCTGATAGCACAGTCCATCCCGTGGTACTGATACAGCTTCGCCTGGTTTATAGCCAACTTGAGACACCTCCCGCTTCCGTAGACGTTCTCGTCCGGCCGGTTGCTCGGCTTTTTTGGCAGAATCGGCCTTGCGCTGTTCGCCCAAATCCACAGCAGCCCAGGGTTCAAACCTCCCGTCCAGAAATCATACCCTAGAATCAATTAAAAAAAAAAAAAAAAATCGAACCTCGTGAATTCAGAATTAAAAATTACCTCTAAGCCGGTTGTTCGACTGTAGATAAGTCACTACTTCCATGAACTCATCTCGTGATTCAATCTCGATCAGGTTCGATCCGAGACTTTTACACATAGAAGCTGCCGATTTCCAGTTATAAAGCCTCTCGCTAAAGTGATAACAGTTTCTTGCCACTCGGGTGAAATTCGCTGGACATGCATCTGAATAATTTACACTCCGTTATCATTTAAAAATATGAAGATTTTTCGATTGTTTTACACCGATTATTTATTTTGTTATTTATTATTAAAATTAAAAATAGTTATCATTCAACATCAAATTTAATATCTACTTAAATTTATAATATAAACCATTTGTATGTAACATGTATAAATTGTGATTCATTTTCACCAGAATTGTGTAAATAATAATAATTTCTAAAGACAACATTTTTGTTTGGTTTTTTTATTCAACGTTATCACCTGAAGTTCAAATTTAATTGATTTATAATAAAATTTACCTTGTCTTTTTATATTTGACCCTTCCATGACTTGCAAGAGGAGCTCTTCAGTTCTCCTAAGTCTCTTTTCCATAGCGTCAAGCCTGTAAGCTAACTTCTCTATTGCATTCAACAAGTACATGTCAGTCTCTGTAATCTAAAATGAAGCAAAATTAAAAAAAAAAATAAAAATATTAATCATAATTTAACTGAGAAGAAAAACTTTGTAAATGACAAATTGTGCCTTGTGTATTTATAACTATCAGGAATCTAGAGTCCAAGAGAAACTGAATTTTATAAAGGCATAATTTAATACATATAAAACATTTAATTAAATTTCAAAGAGAAACGAATTCCACAGTTCACAAGTTCTCACAAACGTAATTTAGTTTGTGTAATCTGAGTGTACACAGTTGCAATAGTTCAATTAGTTAAAATTGTAAAGAAAATAGTACACAATTATTTCTCAATGCGTTTTGAAGTTTCACTTTCTGTGGTGATATATTTTTATAAACTTGGGTGTAATATCGTTAAACTTTTAATAATAAAACGATTTTTGTTTTATGCAAGATATTTCTTAGATTATTTCAAAAGTTCAAATTTTTTCTGGAGAAAATATTATTTATGTACTTAAATATATTTTATGTATATGTATATAATTTCTTTTAACATATTGCATACCCGAATTTGTCTTAGTTTACCACCATTTTGTTAAGTAATGTTTATAATTTGTACATTGCTAATAAATCAGTAATAATCTGTATTTTTAATGTACATAAAATAAATTTTGGTTTTAGTAAGTTTTTCTTTCAAACCAACTGTTTTAAGGTTTTATTTTAAACTATCTTATTTTATCTTTTAAATATTTAAAAAATATACTTTATAAGACATTAGTGATCTTTGGCCTTCTAACAATTATTATTTAGTGTAATTTTTTTTAAATACCAAAAGAATTGGTTTATTTTCAAAATATTTAATTACTAACTTCTTGTTTTTCATTTGTCGAAGGGCCTGTACTGATTTTATCGACAGCCGGCCTGTTAACGACAAATTTTGTGCTTGCGTTAATGCCGACAGACGCTTTCATGACTTTATCATCTCTGGCATCGATGAGAAGTGACTGGATGAGAGGGCTGATATCTGGGAAATCCGGCTCCGTTATGTTCACATCTATAAAGAAAAATATTCGTAATCCATAAAAAAAAAAATAATAAAATAAAATAAATCATGCCTGTCGCACCTCGAGCCCTTAGTTGCTGTACGAGAATAATCAGCGCCACGGTCACTTCCCGCAATCCCATCCTGGAAGATGGCATGAAATGGTGTGGGGTCTCCGAGGAACCGATTTCTTCTGTTGGCTTTGACAAGAATGAGTCACTGAATAGAAAGTTGGTCCCATTTTAATTCTGAGAAAAGTGGTGTGCATGGTGGGGAGAAGATCTTTTGGATACTGGTTCCTGTCATCCACAGCCTTGTCAACTGTACCCAATAATTGGCCCACTTTTTACTGTTATTTAGCCCACAATAAATAATTAACTTCGCTCCTTTGTTTTAACTTCCGAGTCGATTTAGTAAAATGAGATCAAATAAAGCAAGATATTTCATGAAACTATTTCTGGTACACGTCCAAAAATGAGTAGTGTAAACTAATAAAACATCGAAAGATTGATAATACACAATAAAATAGTATTAATCATAAATTGAAATTTGAGGAAATTAATAAAGAATAGAAGAATCAATGAGTTAACTCTCAAAGATATAATGCAATAGATAAGAAAGTATAAATTGATGAAATCATCAAGGAAACTGTTTAAAATAGTCAATAATGTCATGAGATGAATCAGTTTTTATGGTTTGACTTTATCAGAACTCGTTTTAAAAGGCAAAGATAAAAAAAAAATTAATTTAAAAAATCTATACTAAGAGATATGTATCATAAATTTTTCACACAATTATTTATTATTTACTTTTTCAGTTATAATTGTGTTGTGATGGTCTGCGGTACTGTTTCCTGGGGTAATTTTCACAAAGGAGAACCAAACACATTCAAAAATATTGAAAGAAAAATTCTTTCTCACTGAGGGGGAAAGAACAAAATTTACATCGACAATCAGTAATAAATAAAATTATAACAAATAAAACGAATTCTTATCAAATAAATTTTAACTGAATTAACTTCCTTTTTTTATATATATATAAATGAATTGAAACACAATTAAAAACTTTCATCATGAAAAAAAGGTAAGTTCTTAGCTGGTGGGTACAGCCCTTAGCTGCGTTGTGGGTCCCTCAAAAGTTGTCACGGTTGTTTTATAATAAATTTGTCAATATTTATCATTATAAAGTCATTACAGCATACCAATACAATAGAAAAAGTAGCCAAGAGAAAATAAAAAGGTTGATTTAGTTATTAATTATTGGCCCTGGAGCCCTCGGAGAAGAGAATTTTTCCTTGTAGGTCTTATTTTTCAAAATGGTTTTCATCTGCATCTTCGATCTCCAAAGAAAAAGAAATTGAAAAAAAGAATAGGGAGCCGGATATCCTCTCTGCCACTTGGTTGGCGGTTCCTTCGCCCTGGGATAGTGGAAAAAAAATTTTTTTTACCAAATGTGTAGCTTGTTGGAGTGGGTCAAATAAAAACAAAGAAATTTAAAAAATATAAAACATATATTTTTAAACTATGAAACTAATATTTTTGTGTCTACATAAACATGTTTTGTGTGTGATTGACATTTCTGAATAATTTCTAATGATTCTGATCATTTTAGTTGGTTCAAATAAAACAATTTCAAGGATAAAATCAGATTAAATAACAATAAGAAATTAATCATAAAAAAACATTAAAATTGAAAAAATATACATTGTTTAATAATAATAAATATAAGAGTATATACAATCTTGAAGTAAAGAAACTCAGTTCTAACTAGCTGGGGCTTTTTTCTTATTGGGTGGAAAAATATCACAAAAAAGAAGCCCGAGATCGACTACGGAGTATTTGTTCTTATTCAGGATGTTTATCATTTGGGTGTGAATGGTTTTGTACGCCTGTACCGTTTCTGGCTCGTACTTAGTCGATCTGTGCGAGGCTTTCGTTATGTCGAAAACGTGCGCAAAGAACGAGAGCTGATTGTATATCTGCATGCTCGTGAGCTGAAATTCAACACATCAATTAAAAAATATAATTAGACAACGTATAAAATGTCAAATTTCTACCTCAGGATGCATCGTGCTTTGTTTGCAATTTAAACAAAGAGGGTATGCACCTTCGAAAACCGGGTTGACAACGTTCGTCTTAAAATTGCAGACAGGATCCTCACAGGCTATCATATTCTGAAAAATGTCAGATAAATATAAAACACTTTTTGTTAAATTATAATTCAATTATTTTTAACCTTGGCACAACGGTTTAAATACGATCGAACTTTTAACTGCAAAGTGTTCTGTATAGCGGCTATATTGTCCATTGGCCTGACGTTACATTTGGAATTAACACAGTGTTCAAGGAAAAGTATTTCAACACCATTATCCTAAATAAAATTACAAAGATATAAGCAATTTTACTAATAATTAATAAAAAAATAAATAAAAAAAGTTAACTACCATTTTCCTAATAGGGTGTTCTATAATGTTATCAGTTTTGCAATTTTCACTAAGGCATTTAAAGACAAATCTGAAAACGATTTGAATGGATTAGTTGATCTTTGGAAAACATGGTTTAAAAACAAACCTTTCACAGTCTTTAAATCGCTCAACGTCTTTTTTCCCGAACAGACCTTCATTTTCATCTAATTCACCATTATCTTGTAAATTACGGTTGTATTTGCTTGGATCGAGGCCTGGAATATTTAAAATTTGTCTTTAAAATATTGAAGCATCAACCTTTACAGGACTGATTTTTGGATGGTAGAATAGTGTCAAGGCCTGCTGGAAATTTATTGTAAATTATAAAAGCCGGAATCGCTTGTGGATTGTGATAAGTGATGTGCTCAACTCTGTAAATGTGTACATGCCTGTGCAGATTTGGGCTTAAAAATAAAAAAATTATTCTGAAAATTGCTGTGTATGAAAACGATGTAAAACTAAAACGCTTAGACAAGAGGTGAAAAATTCAGAAAGACAATAGGGTAGTTGGTAGGGGGTTGGTAAGAGTAGAAAGGTAGAAAAAAGGACATTCCCAATGAGACGTAGATAGTGGTAGAATGCTTTTCCAGATAGAGGAATGTGTTACAATTTCACAAAAGTTTGAGAGAGGTCAGAATGTGAAAAGAAGGTGGAGTAAAAAAGCAGTTTATTGATGGACGGGAAAAGAAGGATATGGGACGTCTATTCACTTGGATACGACCTTAGCTCAATAGGTACCATGTGTCCAGCTAAGGCTCCAAAGGCTAAAAAAAAAGTAAAAAAAACAAGGTAACACCATCGGGCCTGGGGGTGTGCTAATGTGAATGAGATCTCATCACTACGTAAATATTGTTACTGACCTAAGCAGCTTGCTATACTTGCGGCATCGGTGCCTTCAATCGGATCGCAAAGCCTTGCGATCACTGGGTGGATTTGTTGAGATAGATAATAATTGATGTCAATTGTCAAGTCTGGATTGGCTTTCAATTCTTCAACATGATAAGCTCTTTGAGTTGCACCGTTGTTCGTTCCATCCTGACAAATTAAAAATGTCAATTAAAAAAAATAAATAAATAAATAAAAATATAAAGACAATTTACATTGCAAATGATATAGGAAATGGTGTCTCCTTGCTTAAACCTTTTAGCAGAAGCCGAGTTCATCCTCAATGCGACTTGAACATGCGGCAAAGCCTTGCTGTCTGCGTAGTTCTCCGGGGCTTTCGTTAACTGCTTCGTCACCGTCAGGAGCGTAAGAGGGACCTTGTTATTTTCAAGATCGCATCTTATATTCTCAAGATAGCCATGTATGCTTTCTATCCTGTCATCACCTGACTGTGCCGATAATATCTGCTTAAGCACAAATCTAAACAAATTGTGTAACATTATAAACATGATAAATCTTAAATCTTTAGAGGAAGAGGAAAATGTTTCAGCTGATAACAAATACATTTAGATTGCTATTTTAACTTCTGCCATAGATAAAATAAATTATCCTTTTTTTTTTTTTTTTTACTAAAAGATAAAGGATAATTTGAGGAAGTCCTGTATTAGTAAGGACCTAACAGATAAATGCTATATATAGCATCTTCTGAAAAAAGTTCTTTCATTCAAAGAACAATCTAACTATTTAATTCATTCTGCTTTCATTTACAATCCAACTTGGTACGATTTTTTTACATATTAATTATGAACATGATTTTTATATTTACTAATATAAAAATAGTTATTATAAACGATGAATCTAACATTACAAATAAGATTTTTGTGTTTCATTATTCACTCAAATGATAAAATGATTTAATTTAAATTTAAATATTTATTATTAATTAAATATTTTTCTGTGCATTTATTACAGTCATCATGATGCGGTTAATAGTTATTCTACTTTCAACCACTTACATACTGTCTTCACCCATCAAGCCTCGTGATATTTCCCCGTCCGAATTCTACTACAGCCTTAACGAAAGTTTTTTTAAGGATTTAACATCGTATAATAGACAAGGAACGATCCCGTTGATTAGACCGAGCATGGTTTTATTCGACCGATTGACGGATGAAAAACGGTTTTAAATTTAAAATATTACGAATTCGACAAAGGACTTACTTTCCCGCTTCGGCTGACAGCTGGCACCAATCTCTCCTTACAATGTCCAACCCTTTCATTTCCCTCTTTTCGACAAGCTCACCGTTCGGAAGTTTGGTCAGCGTGACAGCAGCGTACTTCTTCTTCTTGAGGAGCAGCATGAATTTAAAAACACCATCTATGTCTAGTTCGACTTGCCTGTAACACTTGTTCACCTCTGTTTTGATCTAAAATTCAAGAATGTTTTACATTTAAATTAAGTTTGAATTATAAATATATTTTTTTAAAACTAGTTTACTTACTCTTTTTCCTATTTGATATACTTGATCAAATTCTTTGGTTTTTGTGTTTATCATGATTGAGTCTGTATCACCGTAAATTACTTCATAGCCGTAATTTTCTACCATCTTTTTAGTATTCATTAAAATTTCCCGTCCTTTAGCTAATTTATAATCAAGTTAATATTATAAATGTTATGTATGTACTACAATAAATAAAAATCAGTTGAAGCTTACCGGTCACCAATGCTGCAAGTGGTTTAGCGTAAAATCTAGAATGCGTAAATCCTAAACAGCCGTACATACTGTTTGCAGTCAACTTCAACGCCATTTGTCTAATGTCGTACTTAAATATAAACATAAAACTCCATGAAGATTTTAATGTTGGAAAAAATACATGAAAATATCAAAATAAAAGATTGTCATTACCTGCATTTTTAATTCAGGCGAAATAGAAGGGTTTTTCAATAGTTTTTTCACCTCTTTTCTGCTTTCGACCAGTTTTCTGATTTCAGTCGGAAGAATCCCCATTTCGGGTGCATCCGTTGGAAAATATTTGTTAAATTCATCTACAAAGCTTTCTTCCTGAAGAAGAAGAAAAAGTTTAAATTTAAGCATTACACACAGTAAGTATAAACTTTACCATAATAACTTGGTAAATAGGTATCGTGGTAAAACAAATATTATACTCTTGTATAATACTGGGATACAACGAATTGAAATCCATTAATAATATCAACTCGTCATAAAAACCGATTTTTGGATCGAGCACAAGACCGCCTGCATAATTTGGTTTTTTCCGCGACGATTTTGAGGCTGTGTTTTCTATGCCGAGCTCGATTTTGATTAAATCGTCATCAGTCTGTAAAGTTGGTATATTAAATCGAGTAATCAGGAGAATGATTAAATAATTCAAACCTCTTTTTTCTTAAAATCTTTGTCAGGAAGGATGTATCCTTTTCCGTGAAACGCGTGCAAAAGAAGGAATTCATTCCTCTCCGATCTTCCGCCCATTAACGTCCTGGACATCACATTCCCTGCATTTGTAAAAAAATTAATTAAATAAAATAAATAATTAATTTTAAAAGGTGTTTTAACACCTAAAGCACCTTAGGGCCTCTTGCATACCTCAACATTAGGCCAAAATGAGATATTTTTAATACCCTTACGGAATAAGTGAACAAAAGCAGGGGGAAAAAGCAAAAAAACCTTTGGCTAAAGTGTTTTGTTTCAGGCCAGAATTTAAAAAAAAAAAAAAAAAAAAAAACTAGTTTTTAAAAGAGGTTTTTCAAAAAATTACCAGCAATGTTGGTAATCTGAAGAGCAAGAGGAAGGACATTCAGTTCAATAAAGATTCTTAATATATAAGTGGCATCGCTCATCAAACTCCAAACAGCATCAACAATCGTTTTACCCGAACTACAAACACATAATAAATAAATTTGTAAAATTAATTTAAAAAAAAAATAATCAAGAGACCATTGACACACATACCAGTATGCATATTTGAATTCATCATCAGTTAAATTTAACCTTTTCCCTTCAGGAAAATTTAATACCTAAAAAAATTCTGTTATTGTAAACTGGATTTAAAATTTGAATATTAAATTTGCTGTACGTTTTGACAGAGAGTATCCAAATCGTAACTTCTTGATCTGATGAGTTCTTTGGCTGATATTTTAATGTCACACATAAGTCTTCCAGTAAGTGCGATCTTCTCTAAATGTCCTTTAAACTGTAAAAATAAAGCAAATGTTATAAATTGCCTTTTTTATTTTATTTTTGTTGAAAGAACCTTTGAATGTGGGATTGTCGAGCGTTTCAGTCTGCCGAAACGCGACCAGTTTGGTATTTTATGATGCGCCAATCGGTTCATGATGATATCGATGCTATAGCCCGACAAATCATGTCCAATTATCATATCCGCGTCAATCTTAAAAAGCTTTGTCAGCAAGAAGTTCAGGAGTGACCTCTCGGACTCCATTTTTTCAACTGCCGTCTTTTTAAAACCGGACAACGCCTCTTTGAGATCAAACGGCCAAGAAAAGTCGCTAGGGCGGCTCAAAACTGGAAAATCAATAAAAATTTTAACAAAATATTGTAAACTGGTACGAATTTAATTTACCACAGAAATGCTGATTAAAAAGACGCTGAGGGGCAGGTTTTTCCACGAGATAAGAATTATTTACAAGACACCCCACGGCCACAATTTCACTCTGCTTGTTTTTAGCATTATAGACCATTTGAGGTTTTAGGACTGCAATTGTGATTGGAGGGATGTCTAAACTATTATTCTTGACTAATGACAAATTATTAGAATTATTGCAGGTCGCCTAAAAGAAAAATACAGTATAAAAAGCAAGAAAAATAGTAAATACAAAGTAAAATGTTAATTTACTTCGACTTTACACCAACTTATTGGAACTGCAATCGGCTCAGGGTTCGTTATATCGATCCAACCAGGCCCTTTTATACCTCTCTCTAGGAGAAGTAATTCAAGAAATGAAGTCCTAGTTCCAAAGATGCATGAAAATGTCTCTCCTTTCAGATCGCTAGGAAGTGGAGGGACATTTGCCTGGAAACAGCAAAAAACTCGATTCATTAAGAACCGAATCAGATCCGAAAAAGTGCAAAACGTACCGGGTATCTGACTTCCAAATATTCTGACTCTAATGGAATATCTGCCCGTCCGAAAGCGTACTTCTTCATTATCTTCCTTGACTTGAAAAGTTTTATTTTGAACTTTGAGGCTATTTTCGAATTGAACTCTTCGTACACATCAGCCATTGTGATGTAATCATCTGTCGACTGATCCTTTGCCAAGTCAAACCTCTAAAATAAAAAACGTTTTTAATTATCTACGCTTACGATGATTTCTATTTTACAACCTTTTCCCTCGGCAAAAGGTAGATTTGGCGTTCGATGTTTTTTACAGATATGCAGCAGCTGACGTAAGACTTGGCCGACTCGATGAAAACTTTTCCAAATAAGAATACAGTTCCTGGCTGAGTCAAGATTTCCTCATGGGCATCCCAATAAAAGAAGCGCATAGCCTACAAAAAAATCAAATTTTTTATTTTGTGTACTGATTCACACGATTTGAACTTTACCTCTGTGCCATCTTCTAATTTTATAAGAGGAAGCTTTGATTTATCAACTATAATATTCTGCTGAACCTCAACATTTTCATCACTCACTTTATTCCATTCATTTGCATCAAAATAATTTCTAAAAGAATATTAAAAAAATTATATAAAATAAATAAATAACGGTTAAAAACAGTACTCGTAAGTTTTAGCATTATTGGCCACTTCTTCAACTGGCTCAGTTTTAATGACAGCTTTGCAACTAGCAGTTTCCAATGTTTTTTCTTCTACTTCCATTACCTTAAAAATTTAATTTATATGTTAACAGTAAGTTGTGAGTGTGAATTAAATGTCATACATGGTCAAATTCCTCGCTGAAATTTTCTGAGAATGCTTCTTCGACTTCGTATGTGTCAATGGGTTCCTCTTTTATTTTAACAACAGTACTCTCTTTCTCTTCAACTTTGTCAGCACCGACCTGCACAAGCATTATAAAATTTGACCTTAAGAAAATATAGTATTATCTAGAAATATTACCTGTTCTACATCGATAACTGTGTTTTTAATATCAACGGGGCTTTGAGGTTCCTTTTTCACCACCTGTTTAGGTAATACTAACTGCTTTGCAACAGGTTTTGGTTTGATAGTTGTAAATGAGTTAATATATTCCCTTAAATAAATAAATGAATCAACTGAAGAAATATAACACGGAAGATGCACGACAAATACATACTTAGCAGAAAGTTCTTTAGTCTTGGCTTTCGATACTGATTTACTGCTTACATTCGGAGATGTATTTTCAGTGCCTATTTCTCCGATTATATCTCCTAGAATGTCATCCTCTTCCAAGTTAACATTGCTCTAAAATAAAGCTTCCTTTAAATCCACAATCTTAATTAATCTTAATTTGAGTTTTTGCACCTCTTTCTTTCGTTTGGCTGGCATGTTGATCAGCATGTTTTGTATATTTCCTTTAGAATTGGAGTCTTCCAAATCTCTATGCCTTTTTTTTCTGGACCCGGTGGATTTTGACTTTGATATCGACTCTTCGTCGAGATCGTCATCAAATATTTCTCTTCCATCCTCGACGTAGCCACACCCACCTAACAAAATTAACAAGCGGATTTTATATCTCCAGGAATAATCGTGCAACAGAATTTTAAGTTCGACGTTTATTATCCATATGAGTTTGTTCATAAGAAAGATGTTAGACTTTTTTAAAAAGTATATTCAGATCTACTTTAAGACCTATTTCTTATTTTAATTTGTAGTTTTAATATTAATCCATATATGTTAAGCGTTTTTTTTTTTTTAAATGCAGCACTGTATGTCAGGAATATCCACGATACTTTCTGATATTGTACTATGCTTATACGTAAGGATAATGAACCAATATCACAAATAAGCAACTGGAAATGATTGAAACAAAAAAGTTTTTATTCAGTAAGTAAAAATATTTATAATAAAAATAAATTAAAATAAAGCATAATATCTATTTAATATTGTTTTTCTGGCAAAAGAAATAATAGCTTTGCTTAGCTATCTTTGCACTCTGGGAATTTAATTTTTACTAAATTAATTTATTAAATGAAAAAGAAACATAAGTTAAAAACAATTAAAATGAAATAAAATTAATTTAATAAATGAAAAAGAAACATAAGTTAAAAACATCATCAATAAACTAAAAGGTAAGCAGTATGTTGATATTATCAGTTCCTACTTAACTGACAGACTGTTTAGAGTCAAATAAGAAGATCAATATTCAAAATTAAAAACAATAAATGCAGGAGTGCCACAAGGTAGCATATTAGGACCACTGCTTTACTTGTTACACACCAGTGATTTTCCGAAAATAGATGGAGTTAAAATTGCTATGTTTGCAGATGACACAGCGGTGAAATCACTAGGACTGATTATCACCCATTCAACCAAAATTCTCCAAAATGCATGCAATAAGATAAATGAATGGACAAAAAAATGGAAAATCAACATAAATCAGTTCATCTAATCTTTACAAACAAAAAAGTGGACCATGTTCCGTTGCTCACAATCAATGGAACTACTATACCATACAGCAATACAGCTAAATATCTGGGAATGACCTTAGATGCCAAGCTGAGATGGAAAGTACACGAAGAAAAAAGGACAGAAATAGGTTTAAGGTATAGACAACTATTCTGGTCGATAGGACGTGGCTCCAACCTTGCTTTTCAAAATAAAATATTATATAAACAAGTCCTAAAGCCTATGTGGACATATGGTATTCAACTATGGGGTTGTACCAAAGACAGCAATATGAAATCGTACAAACAGTCCAAAATAAAATCTTACGTAACATGGTCAATGCACCTTGGTGCATAAGGAATAAGGACTTACAAAGGGATCTTAAGATCCCTGAAGTCACAACGGAAATACAAAGATTTGCTGCCAAACACCAGGCTCGCCTCAGCCAGCACGAGAATGTGGAAGCAACCAAACTCTTACATAATCGAAACATGGTCAGAAGATTAAAAAGAACAAAGCCATATGAACTTGTGTAGTTAAAAATAAATAGTGAATAGTGAAATGTAAATCTTATTGTACTAATGGGCTTATAAAAATGTAAACATTTATTTATTCTATAATATTATTGTAAAATTAATGGTTGTTCTAATAAGACCAGTTTTAATAAATAAATTAAATTTTTAAAAAAAGTTAAAAACATAATCCTAAGAGCCAAGAATAGTGATTTTCCTAGGATTTTGATGGTCAACATTTACCAAAAAAATGTATATAAAACTCGTAATTTCAAGCCAATAGAAATGTACCTTGATCACTGATAATTCTCGTTTGGTTGATTTTGTCTCTCAGATGACCATTTCCAATGGTCGGTTTTGAGAGATAAAAATAGAAAAAATAAACGTGCCAGGATCATCGGAGTTGATAGACTAATCAGTATGTATCAATAGGAAAATTGGTTTAGATAGGTTTTGTCTATCATTCCAAATTATACCAATACAAAATTTATTGGGTATAACAATTTAAATTGCGCCCCATGTTGGATCCAGTCATTCTGTTGGCCTAGTCTCTCCGGCTGTCTTTCAGATGATTTTAGCAATCCAACATCTAATTGATATAACAATTATAAAATAAACTGTAGCACAAATTTACACTAAAACCAGTTACCAACAATTGAGAAAAAAAACATCAGTCTATTCTCTAAATAGCCTACTTTATTTAACAAAATTCACTCCACACCCGAAAACTAAATTAATTCATTTCATTCAATTAAAGTACTAATTTGATAAAAGAAATGTACAACAGCGACTGAAGCAGCGCGGCCATGGAACGGTTTTACATACACGTTGCATACAGGTTTAGAATGCAGTTCTGTTGCAGTGGGCATAACAGTGGTTTTTTTGTGCCTATCACGGTCCTAAAATTTTCTGAACCACTGTCTTTTCCTTATTTTCTTTCTTACTGTTCAATTAAAATAAACATAGATATGGAATGCGGCTTGCTGCTTGTGAACCCATGGTGCACTCAGTGCAGCTTCCACATGAACATGGAATAATAACAAATTGTTCCGAAATAAAATTTTGCAATGTTTTTGAACAAAATTTCTAAGTGTTTATTAGGGTTGTGGTTAAATGTTAGTATTCACCATCGTCGACAATCCAATCATCCTCTTGCCTTCGTACGACTCTCTTGCTGTACTCTTGTTCATCCACTTCGTCGTAGACGTTCTCCAGCTCGCCTATGTCGTACTTGTTCTTCTTCCCTCCTTTGATCGTGCTCCTCATCTTCTCCAGGAGTTCCAGCTTTTTCTGCTTCGCCGAAGAGACCCTCCTCGGCCTCTCTGAAAAAAAAAAGTTTTTCAATAATTTCCGAGTCGAATTTAGAAATAGGCGTTCACCTTTCGGGCCTTCGTCGTCCGACATCCTTCTAAACGCGTCCAATTTGTCGGAGTGGCAGAAAACAAAAAGGCGAACCCTAAAATAACAGACGAAACCGGCTGGAGAAATTTAAGGATGTAAACAGTGGATGTGGAGTTTTGGGCGGGAAGGCGGGAATTTTGCCGGGAGGTACAACAAAATGATGGAGGGCGCTTTTCTTATCTTTCACTTTCCTCATTCCTCAGACGTCATTTGTACATGCCCTCAATAATTTTTGGCATGAACCTTAAAATTGAATGTAAAAAAATACAAATATGCCCGATTTTCTACTTCTTTTGATTATTACTTCTTAAATGAGTTTAAGATTTGCATATTAAGCTTTAAAAAAAGTTTTATGCACCAATTACCATCTTTTCCTTCCCTTGCTTGTTTATTACATATCTACATTTTGCCCTAATGTTTTTACGTACATAATTATATATTATATGCTATATATCTTTCACAATATTCAATTTGTGATATTTGTAGAGATTGGAATATTGGAATGTTCGAATACCAATGTTCAGATCAGGGAGAGACCTGGTCAAAAATTGAAAAGGGATATTGGCAATTTTGTAGTACATATTTACTTTCCGTAGCATTTTATTTTTTTATTATAAATTGCATTACAATGTATTAGAAATTATTGTTTTACTGAAGGAAAATTTACAACACTACTGCTAAATTATAGAAATTATCCACTGAGTAACCAGTATATCGTAAATAATCTAATTAATTTACGAGGCCTTTCTGTGTTTGTGCATGTGCAATACTTATATAATTTTTTAATTGTTTTTAACTAAACTGCTCAAAAATGAATATGGATATTGCCAATTTTGTAGTATTTACTTTCCATAGCATTTTTATTATAAATTTCATTAAAATTTATTAGAAATTATTTTGTTTTACTGTTTTTTTTAACTCATGAATTTCTGATCTAGTTTAATTTGGGTTTATATTAAAATAAGTATGTTGTAATTAACGATAAAAATGCATATAGTGTGAAATAAACAACAAAATACTTTTTTGTTGTCTTTAAGTGTATTTTTTTCAGAACAATTGTAAGAATGCCTTTTTTTAAGATTTAATGTATTGCCTGACCCCAAAGCAATGTTTATATTAAAGTATTTCTTGTACGAAGGAAGTATTTCTTGTATGGAGGGCGCTTTTCTTATTTCCTCATGGACAAATGGGTCCACAGTTTTCCTTTAAATTTAAAATAGAACCTTAAGTTAAAAAAAAATTACAAAATATGGCACTTCAAACAATTAACTTCTCAAAAAAATAAAGCATTAAGTACTACTGCAGTAATTGAATGGAAAATATAATCAGTTCTTCAAATTTTGTTCAAAATTTAATGAAATTGAGGCAGGTAGCTCTAAAATAGTACCTTCTAGCACACCTATAGCACTTAAATTGTTTATTTATAATTATTTCAGTAAATTATCTATGTATATTATTTTATAATTTAACAATGTTTTATAATTATAACAGTAATAATCAGGTTGTTTGGTGAGGGTGAGATTATTGTTCACAAATTTACAGGCCTCAACATTACTCTCACAATTTTATTACTTTATGTAATTATAAATTGTTGATGCTAAGGCCATAAAATCCTTGGGGAAGTCGGTGGCCACAATGGTTAAAGTAGTGACTCATCACTGTATGGTAAAGGTCCCGGGTTTGAATCCAGCAGCCCTGATTTCGAACCCGACTTAAATTAGTATTAACTTGTAGTTGAAATACCCTCTTAAAGAAAAAAATTCCAATAGTCAATGATTTTTTAATCATTAATCAATCATTCTGTTGTTTTTAGATGAATTAACTGTATTAATCTTTTTTAAAAGCAGAACTTTAGTTTTGAACATATGATCTAAACAATTTTTTTTAAAATTATATAATTTATTTCCTGTTTGCTCAAGATGTTCATATAAAATTTCATTTTTGTACTTGTATATGAAGAACATGAATTTATAATAAAAATAGTTGAATAAATGACAATTAATTATTAAAAAACAGCAGTATCATTTATTGCATGACAGAAGTTGTGAATAATAAAGGCAGCTGCAATTATAGGAAGTGAACATACATTATTATTTACTATTCTTGGAAATCGGTGGATCGCAATTTTAAAATATTGTTGTATATGTGCTAAAGCTCTGGATTGGAGTTTTTCAAAATCACAAAGTTCACTTGTGGAGTCCTGAAGAATAAACTTTTGTCCATAGTATTTCGGCCCTGCGATCAATTTGACGTCAAAACTGGATTTCTCAAGCCTCTGATATAAATTGCATTCTTTGAAAGCTTCAATTTGGTTAGCGTTAGTCGTCAGATACAAATCTCTGCATCTGTATTTATGATCCAGGAGTACTTGGACTAATAAATAAAAATCATTTGCATGCGGCAAAATGATATTGCCGAGGATTCCTAACGTGGATTTAAAACCATATTTTTTTTCAAATTTCTTTGTTATATCCTCCATTTCCTCTATTTTTGGCCATGTGCACTTTAACAGTTGTCGACATTTTATAATTTCATTTGACATATGTTCAAGAATTGCGAGAAGTGTTTCACCTTTACTTTCTTCACTGTCAAAGTCGTGATGACAAGTACTGAGGTATCTCAGCAGCACCAGTACTTGCCTTTCAACACCCACGAGACCGACGCTATTTAAAACTTTAATCAAATATTCATAAGAACTGTACTCTAAGTGAAATGTGACCTGGAAGGACCTCTTTGATATCCCCAAATTGAGTATACCTTTGCGTTTCCTTTCTTCGGCTTGTTCCTCTAATAAAGACTTTAAAGTAGTGAGCACAATATTTTCATTGTCGGTAAAAATACTGATTAAAAGTTCATCAATATGAGGAGAAAAGTAAGAAGAACTTGAGGCATACCTTAGCATATTTGCAATAGAATATTTGAACTTTTTACATTTTTTGGTCTTCATTATTTTTTCACTATCGTGATTAATAATTAACTTTTATCATATGTTAAAATTGCTGAAAATGCTAAATAGTTGCATAGTTCTATATATAATATATAAAAGGCATAGCAAATACTTTTTTCATTTGTTATAATTTTTATTATAATTTAATTACTTATTAATAATGGAATAAGTAATAGTTATGTGTTTGAACTACTGTTGTTGTTTACCTATTTATTCTTAGTTTACTACGTGCATGCTTTCTAAAATTGTAATGCTTCCAGTAAATATAAGTCCATTACAAATAATTTAACTTATCTATTAAAATAATTAAATAATTTAGCAATTATAATCCCAATAATTCACTATTTCATTTTAATTTAAGTTTAATTTATTCGTATTTAAATGCACATTGAATAAATATGAACTCTCAGGGAGAGGACGGACAGGGAAAATGAACATTTGGCTATGGATTTATGGGCTTTAGGACAATTTTTTAGAAAAGGTACACATTTGTTTTTAAGGAAGTTTTTCTTTTAACTCGTCAAAATCGGACTGATATGGAGGATGCACAATGTACATACAAATTTATGTCTGTCACAATTGTAGATTTGTCTCTTCATACTTTTAACTTTTTGATAATTCAACAAATTCATTAAATTTCTTCTTATTTGTTGAATTCACCCTTGCAACATTGAGGGACAGAAATCTAAGTAATCGTTTTGATTTAGGATAGGCCGTGCGAGGTTGACCCACAGACAATTACTTTTGAGCCCAAGTCTGCATATGTGCCCGGCTTGCAGAGCAAGGTTGCTCGATGTATCCCACCTAATTGAGGGGTGCAATTCTTTTGCTAGATATAGAGTACACAGGAATGCCACCTGGTATGAAAATTGTCAAGCGATCGGTGATTCATAAAAGTTATTTTATTGTATATACTTAATCTTGTATTTACTGTATATAGTAATGATAGTTTTGTGTCTACAGCGTGTGTTGAAAGTTAATGTATTTAGAGTGAGAGGGTAGATGGCAAAATATTGAGTACACCATCGACCTCAATTAGGTTAGATTTATAATATGTGTAGAAGGTGATGGAGGAATACCGACTACTCAGCTATCATATTTGAGTGAATGTAAATATCTGTAAGTAAGTGGGAAATAATGAGTGAGAGTGTGAATGGGTTTGGATCTAGGAACTGGATGCATTGGGTGCTGAATTGACAGCAGTCGGATCCCAACCTAGGTGGCTGGATGGATAAGACAGATGGTTTGATCCCGGACTGCCAACACCTGGGGATGGGTGATTCTTGAAGCCTGTCGGTGATTTATTATAAATTACAAAAGCTGGAATTGCCAGCGGACTGCAAGAAATGATAGCCTCAACTCTGTACATGTGTTTGTATATATGTATATGTACATACATGTGCAGATTTGAGCTTATGTGTTTCCAAATAAATCCACTCAGCATTCTGCGTTGATTTTTTTCTTCTATCATTTGTGTGACATATCTACAAAAAGTTATAAGCTAAAATCACATTTATTATTTTAAAATTATTTTCAAAAATTGTACACAAAATAAAAATGTTTATTTGTGAATTAAACTAAACTTTAAATTAAAATATCAATAATTACAAATTAGGTTGTTGGGGTGAAATATATTCAAAAACTAATTCGCATATTATTTTATTACCAATCTGTTTATATGAATAATATGTACACAGCGAGCGTAACCACAGCAACCCCATGAAGTTGCATTTAATAATTTATACACAATATTTATATCAACCCGATAGTGTTTGTTTACAAAAAACAGGTCACTAGGGAATATATATTTTATATATTTATCTAATAATCAATTTATTTTAAGGTTAACCTGTCCTTATATGTAACTGTTTAAATTTTATAATGCTCTTAAAAAAAGTTATCCCACTGCAAGATATCAATCTTTTCATAATTTTTTTATGAGCATTATAACCTTGTAAATGTATACATAAAATGCCAGGTTAAAAATTTGGGCTTCGACTATATTTCCTTAATCAATACTAAAATTATTATATGTTAATGAAAAAAATACGTCAACACAAACGTTTTCATAATACAAATAAATTTTCAAATTGTACTAACAATAACATAGGTATTTTAAAATTCAAAGTTAAACCAAAATGGTGGAAATACAGTCGAATGTAAAAATCCAAGTTTACTTAATTTTTTTTCTTATGATTAACAATAAATTTGCAACAACAATAACATATTTCTTTTTTATGTCACTTTTTGATATTTTTTTGTTAACAAATAATATAAATATTAAATAAAATTTTGCTCCAACCCCTCAAACAATTTGCAAACCATTGATGCATCGTGAAAGCAAACGTATAAGTGATGCCTAAAGTTTTTATGATTTCAATAAAATTCATCATTCTTAAAATTGACTTTGCTTCCAAATTCAGTTTCATTCAGATACAGGCTCTCAGGTTTGAATATTATTGAAACCATGTTTGTGCGTTTCAGCGAAAATTTCCCCATTTGCTTCAAAATAAATAAACATCAAATCAGTTTAAAAAATGTTTCATTTTTATTACAAAATAATATTTTTATAATTAATAAAATTGAAAAAAATTTAGACACCACTTCTGGACTAAACCAGTTAAATTCTTGAATTTGAGAAATAAGTTCCTTAATTTGTAACGAGTCCAACTATAAACCCTCAGGGTTATGTACAATTGTATGTAATTGGGTAATATTTCGGTATGGACTTTTGCCACCTCAATATATTTATGGCTATATATACTTTTATTTATTTTTCAATTTTTATACAGTGTAAACAAAAACAAACATTTCCAAACATTTCTCTACAAAAAATTCCACATACACTACAATTTTTTATTGTTCAATCTTTTTTTTATATATTTTTAAATATTTTTCATTCACAATTTATATTTTTTACTCATTATTTTTATCTAACCAATATACTGAACAATTTATATGGGAGGCTTCTATATTGACAGACTGTACAAATCATTGGCAAAATCACTTTAGAGAAAAATTGATATTAATTTTAAAAGTACCAAAACCAAGTTACACAAACAGTGAAAATATTAATATCAAATTTTAAATAATGCGATTTGCCAAAATGAAATTACTTAATATACAAATTTGTGCTGTTTTCCTATTAGGTCTATAATTACAATTTTATCTGGGGGGGGGGGTCTTGATCTAGTAATAAAAACTTTTTTCTTTTGGAACAGTATTCGTTGTAAATTATTAAATTTGGATAATTTTTTTTTTAGATTTTTATATTTTTTTAGGCTTGAAAATATATGTTAATATTTTGCATACTTAATTAAGAGACTCATACAACGTTTTCCATTTAAATCTATTGAGATAAATACTCTCTACCATTGCTACTGATTCTGTGTTCATGATTTATTAAAAATTATAAAACAAAAATATGTGTTTATAATACATTTTATCATTTAATATAAGTAACTTTTATGTCTCTGCCCTTTGCATCCCAGATCAGATGTACACTTTATTTCAATAAATATATTGAATAATTTGTGTTATACACTGTATAAGGCCTTTGTCAACACACCCCACTTTCTTATTTTAATAGAAACCTAATTAGAAACTAACAACTAAATATACACGGACGCAAATGTAATTGTATTCACACAAAAATGCCACAGTATTGGTCAAACCATTTCAATTTATTGGAACAATTGCAAATACAAATATGTTTTTAATAAAAAATACTAGGCATTGTCCCATTTTAACATTATTATTATTATTATTACTTTTTTTTTGGCAAATTAGTAATTTTTCATAACATTAACAACTGGAAGTACATAAAATTCAAGTCTTTGGGCATACAACAAATATAAAATACTTTGTTTAATAAAATTTAAAAGAGTTAACAAAAAAAAAAATATATCGAATATGTAACAAGTAAGCACAAATTGGTATAATTGAAGTTATGGAGCAAAAAAATTAATTAAATTACAACATTTCAAATAATTGCTTTTTATTTGTTAAAAAAGTAAAATCACATGGATAATTTTAAATAAATAAAAAAAAAAAATCAAAAGGGAATGAAACGTAGTTCGTACCTTTATCAAAATAATTACAGTAAAGTCATGACTTAGTGATTACCAGTTGAACGCTTCAGCAAACAGATTCTTGAGAATATTAAACAGATTCTTTTCAACCATGGCAAATCTGAAAGCGAAATATTGGTGTTTTATTTCACATATACATGATATATGTATTAGCAAAATAATCGATGACTCAATACATAAATGATCTCCTAAATACCGTGATTTAAGTTTAACAAATTAACAAACTGGTTACAAACGTCAAAAATTTAAGTAGTTCCTCCATGTTGTATTTATTTAATTTTAAAAAAATTATAATAATTAGTATAACTGCAGGCAAACTGTTATATAAAAACACTACAATTTGCACAGAAATTTTAGCAAATTTAATTGCATAAATGTCTTTGTACTAATGACAACATCATTAACATCTAGTGAACCTTGAACTTAATGAAAATGTCTATTAAAGATTATTCTGCAGCATAATCCCCTTAATACTAGCCATTACACAATTGCATTTCTAACACCTTTTGATTTACTCAGTTATTTTATTAAGTTGAATTCAATCATAAATAATAACGACTACTGATGGATTCAATTGTATAATTAAAAATTTTAAACAAACTTTACATCTCGTCTAATACATGCCTATTCAGTGCACAGTTTACTATAGTTGAATTTCAGATTTCATTTATTTTTTCTCACCTGTATCGGACAGCTCAATTTAACTCTAGTTACATATTGTCTTCTATTAATCATAATTTAAGATTGCTTTTCTTTCTTATTAACAGTCGTAAACAATAAAAATAAAGAATAATTCATAAACGATAAAGTTTGTTGAGGCTGTTAATCACAAAATGAGATCTCATTTTTACTTGGCTTATTTTGAATACAAATATCAATTAATATTATTTATAAAAATTTTATGGCTTGAATTGTATTGTTATCACAATATTGTTCTTGAGAAATAGAAAGCTAAAAGAAAAGTACAACTGATTTTTAAGTTAAAAAATATTACAAATAACTTACCCAGTTTATTCAGGCTAATTGAATGAATTATTTTTTATTTACATGTAATTTAATCGTAGTTATCAAATATTTTTGAGATCTCTAATTCCTTTACCACCAATTATCAATTTAGGCCTGCATATTTTTTTTTTGCGTAGTAATATTGCATCTTACTTCAGAGCTTATTTTGTGGTTCCTAAAAATGAATACATGAAGGAACTTATTTATTTTCTTTATTTACTGTCAGTCCTATTTGTACCTAAACTTTTTAAATAATTTACCAACAACAAGTTGCCTTTATCAAGTGAGGGCTGGGTATTTAACTTATTTCATTCCTATGTATATTACATTCTACAATGGCAATGGAACAGTGTAAATCCTTTCCAAATTTAACAACCTTCTGCGTTACTTCATATGTAACATGTTTATTCATTTTGTTAAATTTCGCCTTGCCGAGTAATCCCCAGCCCTTTTGGTGTCCTGTTTATTAGGCAAACTAACAGAATTTCTAGTATTTTATTTTAAAATTGTTTTTTTGTTTTTTTAATATATTTTTTAAATATTTATTTAGATCTATAGCTTAACACAGCTGTGACAATAGGAAATGTCTTCAGAATCTTAAAACCTTTTTATTTTTATAATAAATAGAACACTCTCCTTTTGCCACAGCTTGTTTAACTAATATTTTTTTCTTCTTGAATTGTTGGGTTGGACATATTAAAACTAATGTTAAAAACTAAAACATAATTTTGAACACACACACCAATTCTGTCACCTAATTTTCGAGGTTAACAAATGTTTAATCTTATTAAAAATTCACAATTAATAGTCTTTTTTGTTTAATGTTTATCACCAAATAACATTTGATGTGACACAAACACAATTCACTTTTCCAAGGCTATCAGCCAATTGAACACTCAGGCACCGATGGACTATTATTTTTTATTTATGTTTTTGTCCACTTTCAAAGATATAAGCACGAAAATTCCCGTAAAATTAAATTAGTTTATGTATCACTTTGCACTTCACATTTTATAATTGCAACACAGTTCATTTTTCATCAAGATATCATAACATGTGGTAAAGACAAAACCTTCAGTTCACTTATATAAAAATTTGTATGCAAATACACAATTTTTATTACTTTAAAAACTTTTTCTTTTTCAAATATAATAAATAAAAGTGTGTATGAAAACTAATGACAACGTATTTTAACATTTCATATTAAACTAAGATCATCCAGTGTATACCAGCAGGGGTTTTTTGCCCAGCAAATAATTCCTGTTGACAATACAAAGGATCATTCTTTCTATTATTTTGCAAGGCCACAAAGAAGTATATTTCATATATACACACATAAATGAATAGTGTTCTCAATGTTACACTATGAGGCGTCACTTCCAAATAGGAAGCCGTGAAAATCATACGGTCATAAATATACATTTACATTTATATCGTTAATGAAAAATGAATGTGACACAAAATGAGCTTTTTATTTAAGTAAGTGCTATATGAGAAGTCTAGTCCTGTACATAATAAGACAAGTGAGCATAAGGATGAGAGTGGTGAGGTTTGTAGGGTGGGAAGCAGCCGATGAGGTATCCTGCTTAGGGCTCGAGTCGTCATCACAGGAGTTTTTCGAGCATATTCCATTTTCGCACTCATCATAACAACAATTATTTGACCCGTATGAAGACTTTGCCATTTGCTCCCCCGTTTCCTCAATGTTCGGGTCTGGAAAACAATGAAAATTAACAGTTGGATCATTTCAAACAGGCGGTCATTTTTATTTTTCAGTTGTCTGTGGAAATGTTAAAGTTATTTAATTTTATTTTAAATAATAATAACACAATTTACTTCATCTTTTGTTTTAAAAGTCATGCCTATTAAATTATTATTAACGACGTTGCTTATCTCCTAGCATGCAGAGGAATCTTAGCATTATCCAAAATTAAATCTTTACCATATATAATCAAACTTGATTATTGCATTAATTAATAATAAACAAGATGTCTAGACATGAAATTACATTAAAATAGTTAAAACTACTGTTAATAAATCAAAAAATGCCTTGTTTTAATTGTACAACAATTCTTAGTCATTATATACATACAAATTTTTTTGTCATTTTAAAATGGTGTATATTATAAATTAAGCACTCACCTAGGCACAGGAAGGTAGGCTCACCAGCGTAATGTGCTGGGCCTTTGTCTAAAGGCAGGAAGAAAGGGCATCGTTGTTCTACCCTGTGGCAAAATGATCGGCATGGCTTTATGTTTCGTTTTTTATCCCAGAAACTGATCTTAGCACTGCATATCCAATCCAAATAAGCTTTCTGAAAAAACCAAAACCAGAATAATATTGAATATTAAAATTAAATCGCAATATATATTGAAAAATAAAAACAAAATTGAGGTTAGTCAAATAAATAATAATACAAAATAATAAGTTTGTGTGCAATTGTTTAGCAATTGAGTTTTTCTTTTAACATGTTTTAATGTAACAGAAAGAAAAGTGATAAAACTAGATTTAGTTTTGTATAAAATTTAATGATAATAATTTTGATTGATTGATAATAAGTAATGCTTTTTTTCATGTAATTAAACACCCTTCTTTCTGGCTTTCCATATGTGGTTTTTCCCATGTAGAATGAATGTATTTATTAGCGAGAGTGTTTGACTGGGTATATAATACCAAATACCACACAGACCCACCAAACTAGGAGAGTATCATATCAAGGAGAGAGATGATGTAGATTATTGAACCAATAAATATTTTTCTATAGCCATACTTCCATTATCAGAGTGTGTTTCCATAAATATATATACTAAATTTGATTAGCATGGTCAAGAATCAACAGCACCTGACATTCAAGTAACTAGGTTATTTCCCAGTGGCTATAACTGTTAATTAATTTGATCGTCCATTGTTTATCATTGCTGGATGTGTTTAGGGTATAAGTAAATCCTGAGGCCTAATCAGAGATGATCATTAATGGTAAAAATTTTCTTAGTTCCCCCATTCAATTGGACATAACTAAAATTTTTGTGTCAGGGAGTCGTCCAATTGACCTCTTATATGTAATTAGAGTTCAGTCCAAAGGTCATTTCTTAAAAATCAAGAAAGGAAAGTAAGAATCAATTCAACAACCAGTGTCTCTTGCCAGCTTTCCTTCTACAGGATTAAGCAGTATTTGCTGTTGTTGATCTGGGATCAAAATTTGCTAGCCTGCTTCTGAGAGACTGAAAGGGTCAATAAGATGCCTGGTAGTGGATCTCAGCACATTACGATGCTAAAGGAGGACATAAATACTGTCACTGCTTCAAGATGGAACCTTTTTCATAGTGCCTGACAGATCCTAACTGAAGTACTAGATGGTTTGGCAAGGCCTTTGTCAATACAAACAATTTATAATCGTTGGCCTCACAGCGTAGCCCTATTGAGAAGACCTACAGCAACAGCCCACCATCAGCAACTCATGGTGCAGTGAGTGCAGAAGAGACCACCTATTGGAATGCAGTTATGTTTACTGATGTGTCGTATTTCTGTCTGCATAGTGAAAGCAGGCACCGGAAGAGTCTACCGAGAACAGGGGCAGTGTATAATTTACACTGGAGGACGAATGACTCCATATTGTTGAAGGCAACCTCATCACAGTCCGTTATGCCCAAGAAATTATTGAGGAATACATCCCACAAACCAGGGATCTCATTGGCAGGGTTTTTCTATTTCTGGTTGACAATGCCAGACCTCATAGAGGCAGAGTTGTTCATCAATATGTAGAAAACCTGGGAATTTTCATCTGCCCTTTCCCTTTTGGCCTCCAGACCTCAATCCCATTGAGGACCTGTGGTATGTGTTACAGAGAAGGCTTTTCGATCACCATTCGCAGCCAGTTGTCCTGCAACAAGTGCAGCGTTGCAACATCTCTGAAGTGAAATTCCTTATGAAATTAGTGACAACCTTATTAACAGTATGCCTAACGGGTATACAGAGCTTTTAGCTAACATACACGGTATTAATTATTCAAAAATACTATTGTGTCCAATAAAAAAAATTATGGAATTAAAACCTTTTATTTCATTATTTTTCAAAATCCCTTTATTAAATTTTCCTTCAGTAACAAACATAATAATTTCTAATAAATTTTAATGGAATTTATAATACAAATGTAATAAAAATGCTAGGGAAAGTAAATACTACAAAATTGGCAATATCCATGAGTAGTTAAAAGCAATTAAAAAATTACATAGATACTGCACATGCACAAACACACGAAGACTTTTTAAATTAATTAGTTTATTTAGGATATATTGGTTACTCAGTTGATAATTTCTATAAATTAGTTCTAAAAGTGTTTGTTATAAAAATTTCAGAAGACTTCATACAAATTGTTTTAAACTGTTATATTTTGTCTGTAGCCTTGCCTTTTTGTACTGCCCATAATTCAAACAGTTTATAAATGAAAAGGAAGAAGGAGAGGAAGAGGAAGATAGGGTGAGAAGAGGGAGAGAGGGAAGGATGGAGGGAGAGAGNGAGAGGGTGAGGGGGAGAGAGAGGGTTGAAAAAAATTAAATTAAAACTGATTCAAATTTGCCATTGTATCGTATTACTAAAACTAGTGTTCTTTATGCTTTTTTTAAACTAGTCATTTCGGGGTAAAAATGTCCAAAACCCCTTATGATTGAATTTCATTATTATTTTTGATACAGAGACCCAATCTCGCCAGGATCCACTGTCCAATTCTTCATGGAAAAAAAAACCTGTTATAGCAACCAGAGGCCTTACTAAGAGAGGGATTGGAAAGAGAGTGAGTGGGTCGGTCGGGTGAGCCACGGGTGCCACTACAGGGATAAAATAAATTACAGAGACGAACCCTTTCTACCCATAGAGGCACCAACACACCCCATCCGCACACTCACGGATCTCCACTAACACTAACACTACAAACCTTCTATGGCCTTTTTTCTTCTTCTCTTCTATTGACATTTTAACAATAGCGGACTAATTCATTTTACAACTCATACGTCTCGGGGCTTTTATTCTGGGCAAGTTCAAGAAAAATCTTCGATTCTACATTGTCGTCAACAAACTTATTATACGAAGTTGTATTGTTTAGTTGTTTAAAGAAACGTCTCGCTTATCAACAACACAATTGCCGTCTTACTCTTATCATATGTAGCATTGGACGAAAGGCTTCGCAATTTATTCACGGATGATTGACGTTGATGGATGACTTTGACCTAAAAAATCTTAATGAAAATGTGGCGAATTGAGAAGTGCCATTATGCCGACTAGGGGTTTAATTTTTTAAATGCTTAAGCCCTCTTTTAGAAATACCATATCTTTTTTAAATTTGAAATATTAAATCGACGTTAACTATTCATAAAAATATCTTTCAATTGGATAAAAAGACTCCGATATTGCTTTTCATGTAATCTAAATTTCACCCACGTATACTTTTATACAAATAGTTTTATTATTTTAAATCTTTTTTTATTAACAGTATGAATATGTAATAAAAATTTAGTTTAATGATAGGCGGCCCAAAATTTTCGTAAACGACCAAACATGTTCATCACCCATATCTTATGAGGAATTCTCGTAAGACATTTTGTTCAGACTATTTTAAAGGAATTACATCAGCCTTGGACTGTTTTTCTGGTTATAATTTCGCTTTCATGAGGTGACCAAATTTTGATCGTTCTAGACAGATGCATCGGTAAAAACAATACCGTTTTTATTAGATGTAATGTTTTATTGACTGTCACGAATAATCTCGATGAAAAAGTTTATTCAGTTATTATTGACAACTGCCAAGCATTCGACCTATTTTAATCATCATCAGGGCAAAACCATCATAAAAATATGTACAAATAGACTTAATTAAACTTTTGATAGACGATTTCTTCTTAAAAAAAAATCTCGGAACGGCTCTTCTTTTCCTTTGGATTCCAAGCCATGTTGGGACTGAGGGAAATGAACTAGCTGATAACGCAGCAAAAGCGACAGAACAATCCCATCGTCTCAGTTTTAATAAACCCTGAAGATATAAAGTCTACTTTCAAATTTAAATTAATCGAAAATTGGGAAAATCATTGTAAACAAACCATTTCTAACAAATTAAGAGACATAAAAGAGACTGTTAAACCTTGGGAAATATCCTTCCAAACTTACAGGCTTGATGAGGTCGTACAATGTCGATTACGTATAGGGCACACAAATATGACCAACAAGCACCTCATGTAAGAATCGATACCACCAAGTTGCCTTTGTGGTGATAAATTAAATGTATTACACATAATTCCATTCGTGGTCCGATTGACCGAATAACGTTTTTCAATTAATTAATCTTTTTATAAGGCATTGATTGAGATAATACGCTCTTGAGCTATTGTGACTTCGAACCACTCGGAAGGTGGGAAGTTAGTGTCCGAGTGGATCGAAGTCACTATAACTCAAGTGGTAGAGCAGCGGCGTATGTAGCCGGAGGTCGTGGGTTCGAATCCCGCTCGTGACACTGACTTTTTCATCTCAACCCATACCTTACATAAGTATTACACATACTTGCGCCCCTTTCCTTTTGTCTGAGGTTGGCTCATTACCCCAAAATCCCCTGGACTATAAAGGAAATGTTAGGGAATGAACAGAAAAAAATTGAACAGGTCTTCGAAAGTCTAAAAATGAGAAGTCTCTATAACCTTATATAAATTTCCATAATTTCCAATAAACATTTCAAATTTCTTTAAAGCACGACTCGTATTTTTACTTTCATTATTGAGTCGTTCTTCAAAGAAATTTGAAGTCGTGTATTAAAAACATAATTATTATGTGTGGTGTTTAGTGACCGTTAGCCAATGATTATTTGGAGATCGTGAGATGCGGTCTGGTGTGACGTGGGTTTTAGAAAAACATTTTCTTTATCGTGCTACGTTTCGAGCCTTATTGAGATCATCTTCAGGGCTCAAAGTGTTTGTCTTCCGTGTAGATGTGTCATTCTTGTGTGTCGTGTTGATATTGCCTTTAATTAGGTTTAGAAACCAATTGTTTGTGTTAACAGGTGTTTGTTTGTTGATTAAGTTGTTAAGTTTTATGGTGTGTTTGTTTTTAATTTGGTCAAAGTGGAAATTGTTGTAGAATTTTGTTAAAGTGTCTGTAGGTAGTATGTTGGCGGCACTGAGTTTTAATTGGTGTAATTTCGGTGTTAATGTCTTAATGTTTCTAACGCTGGAGGTGATTTCTATGTTTAAAATGAGATGCGGTCTGGCGTGACATAGGTTTTAGAAAAAAAATTTCTTTATCGTGCCAATGTTTCGACCTTTATTGAGATCATCT